CAGAACTACTACGACCAGGACTACCACTAGAACCACCTACCACCAGAACTACCACCACCAGGCCTACCACCAGAACCACCACCACCAGGCCTACCACTAGAATCACCTACCACCAGAACTACAACCACCAGGCCTACCACCAGAACCACCACCAGCAGGCCTACCACTAGAACCACCAGAACTACCACCACCACCAGGCCTACCACTAGAACCACCTACCACCACCAGGCCTACCACTAGAACCACCAGAACTACCACCACCAGGCTTACCACTAGAACCACCATAACTACCACCACCACCAGGCCTACCACTAGAACCACCTACCACCACCAGGCCTACCACTAGAACCACCAGAACTACCACCACCAGGCTTACCACTAGAACCACCATAACTACCACCAACACCAGGCTTACCACTAGAACCACCATAACTACCACCAACACCAGGCCTACCACTAGAACCACCAGAACTACCACCACCACCAGCAGGCCAACCACTAGGACCACTTACCAACAACTACCACCACCAGAACTACCACCGCTAGGACTGCCACGAGAACCAGCTACCACCAGAATTACCACCACCAGGACTACCACCAGAACTACCACCAGAACTACCACCACCAGAACTACCACCACCAGACCTACCACCAGAACTACCACCACTAGACCTACCACCAGAACTACCACCACTAGAACTACCACCACCAGACCTACCACCAAAACTACCACCACCAGAACCTACCACCAAAACTACCACCACCAGACCCACCACCAGAACTACCACCACCAGACCCACCACCAGACCTACCACCAGAACTACCACCACCAGAACTACCACCACCAGGACTACCAGCAAGACCACCGCCAGAACCACTGTGAATATCACCAGGCCCACGGACGACGTCGACCACGTGGATATTGCCAATACTCTCACGTGATTGGACTCCAGGCTGCCAGCAGAGCACCATTACCCGTGTGTGTGTGTGTGAAGATATGGATCGTCACTCGTGACCTGCAGCGTGTTTGGTTGATGAACGCAACATGGATGAGACGAAACAGTCTGCTAATACAGTACACGCGTCCTCATTGTTGAGGAATCGATCAGTAGAGTTCACGGTCACCATTGCAGCAGCGTCAGAAGAGAGCGATAACGAGGTGGCGGACCGGCGGTGAGCGAGTTGACGGTGGTGGAGTCAATTGATGCAGGATCATCAAAACCCCAATTGATTTTCGTTTACGTCTTATCAGGCACAGTGGATGGAGGGGTAACCCGATTGCGTTTCAGGTCGTGCTCAGGAGGCCTGTGTATTCCATGTGCGCTCCCAATCCACCACCCTTCCCTGACCTTTGCCCCCGCGAGTCACTCCACCGCATGAGCATCACGGGCGATGTTGGAGTGCGACTGCCTCTTAAGGTGCCCCAAATAGCATCCTTCACCAGCCTCCTACACAGAGGCAGATCTTGATACAAATTGGTGGCAGTCATCGGAAAGTCCACTCAGTGCCCACATCCTCCTGGACCAACAACATCAGGCCGTCTCTTTCCTCTAGCACGTGTTCACGCCCGTTTCATCAAGCTCTGTCGTTGAGTGGGATAGCTTTGGGGCCGTCCGTAAATGACGTCACGCACCTAGGGGGGTCAGACATTTGTGACGATGTGTGACGAGGGGGGGAGGGGGTTGAGAAATGTGACGTCACATCAAAATACACAACTGTAAATATAGACAACACGTTCAACTTAATGATATAGACTTTTTAATAAATGCTTTCTCCTACAACATCAGAGTGTAGCGCCACATTAAATACGCACTACATTGACAATAGTTTAAAGCGATTTGAAGCATTTTTTTTGGGGGGGGGGGCAGAGCTTTGTGACGTCATATTTGAGGGGGGGGGGTCTGACTTTTTGTGACGCCGTGTGACGAGGGGGGGGGGGGGTCATAAATCGTGTGACGTCATTTATGGACGGCCCCTTTGTTTCTGAACAATGAATGTGAATTACGTGGGTTAAACCTTTTACACGAACGCTTCGTGGAATTGTTTACTGTTATTGGCCATACATGCGAGTTGCATCAGTTGTATGCGCGTTGCACTTCTTTCGCGCCGTACGTGGCCAACCGTGCTACTCGCAGGTTACCACCTCCAGCGGTTCAGGCAAGTGGAATGCATGGTCCTGGGTTCATGCCTCAGAGAAAGGGTTCAGATGCCACAAGTTCTCCTGCGTCCGAGCAGAATTGAGGGCCGACTCGAGGCTATGAGAAGCGATGGGATTGCTTGCGTATGGACGGCACCTGTGGTACAATGTGGAAAAATAGAAAAAAGGCACGGGAGGATTACGCAGAAAACGCAACACAAATACAACGCGAGGACACCTTTGATTGAGCATCTGAGACCGCATCCACAAGATGCCGTGTAGAGAAAGTGGAAACGTTTATTTTGGAGGAAGAGGCAGGGAATAAACAGCACGGACAGATTGGAGTTCCGGACAAGACGAGCAGCAAGAGGAGAATGAGAGAACGCTCAACTGAGCGAATTTTGACTGGGGTGTGGTGCTTCCACAGAAAGTCTGGGATGCTGCAGCAGAGATTTCGATGGGAGATGAGAATCAGAATCGTATTGATTTATACAGCAGGAATCCGATGAGCTATGAAGCTCTTTTTCACAGATGTCCAGAGAGGGGAGAGGTATGAGAGAGCGTGGAGGAGAGGAGAGAAGAGTTATGATGAGAGGAAAGAGAGGAGGTGTGGACAAGAGGGGTAGGTGAAGATGATGAGCGAGGTCTTGAAACTGATCCGGGATTGGATTGGGAGCCAGTGGAGAACATAAATCCGGAGTCCCCTCGTTGCACTGCCATCGGCTTTGCAGTGCATTTTAAAAATGGTTTTGCCTAAAATAACCTTCAATTTGTATTCTTACACTCGGACCCGGGGGGCCGGGCCAGGACACGCTGCTGCTGGTGGGACGACGTCGCTCGGCTGGCCTGGGAATGCCTGGGAATTCCCCAGGAAGAGCTAGAGTCTGTGTGTAGTAGTGTATAGTGTAGTTTATAGTGGTGTATAGTAGTGTATATTAGTGTACTGTATAGTAGTTTATAGTGTAGTGTATAACGTAGTAGTGTATAGTGTAGTATATAGTGTAGAGTAGTGTATAGTGTAGTAGTGTATAGTGTAGTGTATAGTGTAGTAGTGTATAGTAGTATATAATGTAGTGTATTGTATAGTGTAGTGTATTGTAAGTGTAGTAGTGCTCGAGTCTGTCGCCAGGGAGAGAGAGAGGTGTGGACGGCGACGTCTCCACACGCTGCCGCCGCGACCCTTGCCAGGCCAAAGCGGACTGAGAGACAGCTGCAGCACGAGAACCAACTTGCTGTGCTGCCTTTTACAGCACGGAAAGTTTGGCCGTTCACAAATCTGTGATCCACGAACCACTTGCTTCCACATACCTGCAGTACAGGCGTGAGCCACCACACCTGCCTCTTTAACGAGGTGGAATGATGGAGTTGAATTTGCTTTCATGGTTGTGCTGTGAAGCCAATCCAGGCTGGGCAAAGAAACGGTCTAACAGTGTCCTCTGCTGGTTGGAAATAGCGTCGTACATCGAGTATCGGTGGATTCATAATAATGCATTCATATATGCTGCATATAAATAAAGTATAATGAAAACTTAAGAGGATCAAAGTAAATTTTGAAATGCACCGTCTTAAATTAATTTGATATCGAAACTTCACATTGCTTTGATGAACACAAAAAACGCTTCCTATGTCATAACATTTAGATGTTGAGATATTTTAAATGTGCATACGTCCACTATCGCACACACTTTGAAGATAAAGGACAAAATACAGTGGTACCCCGGAGATCGAACTTAATTCGTTCCAGAAGGCCATTCGAACACCGATTTGTTCGAACACCGAATTAATTTTCCCCATAAGAATGAATGTAAATGTCATTAATTAGTTCCAGACACAAGAAATCTCTCATTATAAAGCATTTTTTACACGAAGTTTACAGTAATTACATGCATAAAATCCGACAAAAAAACAAGAATTAATAAATATATGGAATAAATGAAATGAATGAACATTGAACTTCACTCTTTGCCTGTAGTAAGGAGAGTTGATGGCTTGAGTGTAAGGTGGTGAGGAGGTGGTGGTGGTGTCATTGTTTGGAAGGGGGGAGTCTCCTTTGTCTGTGCAAGCGTCATGCACGCTGCTGGCCATCAGCGTCTCAGCCGTAGAGGTTCTTTCAAGTCGCGATTCCCTGTTCGACCTCCGAATTTCGTTTGGTTTCCGGGGCAAAAAATGTTGGGAAAGATCGTTCAAACACCAATTTGAACGAGTTCTGGTGCGTTCGATCTCCGAGGTTCTACTGTATAAAGGTTGGTAGATCACAGATTTATTAAATGACCAAATCCACCGCCAAATGGCAGAACTGCAAGTGGGTTCATGAACCCGGCTGTGGACCTTTGCGCACTATGACCTCATACGTGGCTTATTTCGTCACTAAACATTAACAATGGCTGTGTACATGCACATTCTAAAGTTTATTGTGACAAAAGTTACATTGGAATGAATCATTTTTAAACAATTCATTAAAGTTGCAGCTCATTTCTATTAACACTAAATACATTTTACACTCCCGAGATAAGTTGCACAGAATATTTTTTTTTTTATATTTGACAATCAGATTGTTTTAGGACTTTGGGATTATTAACATTGCCTACCAATTTATGCAAACAAAAGTGACGTGTCACATGGTACCACATTTGGTGGGAAAATTACAGAAGTGACGTCATGTTTTCGGACCAATTCAAAACAAACAACAAATTTCAGATCATCCAAAATTTCAGATCGAGGTCCGATATTTAGATTTTTCGTATTGGCGGCACATCCCAAAAAGGGGGTTCACATTCCACCACGTGAAAATCAACATGTTGGGATTGTTATGAGGGCATCCCTCGAAACCATCAACCCACAATAACAGGAAGAGCAGGCGCGCTGATTAAAACTTATGTTTATTTAATCCACGCTTCCCACTCATAAAATGACCAGAAACACGTGAACATTTTTTTTTTAAAATAAGGGAAGTCGTGTACATCACACCAGCAGGTATCATCACGCGGGGAACAATTCACAGTATCTCCTAAAACAATAACACCATTGTGTTGCGGGTCCAGGATCTCTCGGCTTTGACATTAAACCAAAAAAAAATCCTCTTCGAGCAAATGTGTCCAATTGTGTGCGCGTTAAGTAAAATACATTCAGTCAGTCCTCGGTTGTTTCGTTCGAGGCAGCGTCAGGCGCCGACAGAAATGTAGTGCACCTGTGCTGTGCTACAGATTACAGCTTCGTGATGAACTTGCTGACAATTCGCTGCAAGACAAACGCTTGGATTTCACGGGAAGGCTGAAAGTGCAAAACGCGCAAACGCACGTGACACGGGCGGTCAAAACTTCCAGGGCTAGAAACCACAGAAGGCCTATGTAAATTCTCTTTCGTACTACAAATCCACGTGCGCACACCAGGCAGTTTCAAGTGCAATGGCCATTTATTCTCTGCGCAGAATCTTAAAGAGAATGCCAAGAGGTGAAGCCACGCGACACAGATGGCTCGGTTGGTTTTTTTTTTCCAATCGGTCACACACCAACAACTCCTACAACGAAGTTACAAACGTAAACGTGAAATGTCCATCGTAAAAAAAATAAATTAACCCACCCCCTAACCAAAAGCGGGAGAGATTTGTGTTGAATGTACACGAGACACGGTGACACGTGGCTCCGTACTGCTGGTTACAGGAGAGAGGTGTTACCAGAAGTGACTTATGAATTAAATAGAACGACACCACGTTACGAAACTGGTTGTAAAATATAACTGATAAGGAACAAGGTAAGTATGAAATGGGACGAATGGTGCATTTAAGGATGAATAAAATAACATTATTCATTGCGTTAGTCTCCTATATATAAAGACTGCATGCACGTCTTACAGGGCTGAGGAGTGGTGGGGGTTTGTAGTTACAGTTCAGAGGAGCCACGAGTGGCACTTTGGGGTTTCCAGTTGCATGGGACACACAAAAGCAGATTGGGGTGCATTAAATTACTGCAATCACATTCCAGTTTGTTCCAAAGATGGCTTTCACCATTCTTGATGGGCAAGAAGGAGCATTTAAAAGGGCTTTGTCCACCCGGTTTAATTAAAAGCTATCTGGGTGCCTTTTTTGGGGCATAGCAGTACCGGCTGAACCAACTAGTTGTCTGCGGAGAGTTTGCATTAAACAATAAATACATAAATAAGAACCCAAGTGTGTATGTTTGCTGCATTATGTACACTGCGTCGTGTGGACCTAAAGTGTACAACCAAGAAACTCAACAAGCATGAAAATATACGCTCCAGACAAAGCCAATGCTGTTTAGACGTCACACAATTTAACACGGCCTTAATCTATCCATTTAAACCCCTTGCATCAATGGCTCTGTTCAATGGGTTGGGTTTGTTTCCACCTCTTGAGTGTTTAAAATGCTGAAAGTGTTGCTCCCTCTTCATGTGACTAGATTGGAGTAAGTGCTTCAGTTACACATCTGAAACATCACAACAGCTCATTATAACAGTCCCTCGAAACGTAGCTCTTCTGCGAGAGTGAAATTAGTATCGACAATAATTACCGCTTCAGATTGTTACCCGGGAGAAGAAATGGACGATGCCGAGTTGCAGGGGGTTTGTGCCGTTCGAGCTGTAGCACAAGAGGATGTCACCCTGTCCCTCGTTACGTCTGTGACTCTGATACGCTGTACGCCCGTGCAATCCCATTTGTTTACGGACATAAAATAAGAACGCAGAGAGTGGGCACTGTCAATACCAAAAGCGAAAGGGAGGTGCAAAGTGAAAAGCCAATGTTTGGCACGAGTTACAGGGGTGACCCAAACTGGCCAATCATATCCTGATCTCGGCTTTATCCCAAACTCTATCCTCAACCCTAACCCCCACCCAGACACTTAACTTGCTCTCTCTCCACATGGTTCCCCCACAACCTCCTTTTCAGCGACGATCGCCTCTCACTTCATCGGTGAAGAGTACAACACAAAATTTTAGTGAAGAGAAAATAAGAGGAAAGATAAAAATGTCAAGGAGACAATTTTTAAGCATTCTTTCACAAATGTCACTTCACGAAAATAAAACCAGATGGCCGGCTCAACAACTGAAGTACGCGATCGTCCGTGCACACACACACATGCACAAGCTAAATTAAAACACTGTAATAAAGCCTTAGTTTCTCAAACTGATGCCTTACAGCAACTCGGTTGCATTTTATCCTTTGAATCCCCGCTTCGCTCGATTGCACTTTGCATCAGAAACTAAGTATCGTATGCCCCTCATGTAAAAAAAAAAAATCACCCAAGTATAGTCTCATATAAAAGTGTGTTGTGTGTACGGATTCTCTTGACGGGCAGCAATAAAGTCACATTTTTAAAGCCTGGCTTGCAAAACACTTCTCAAAAGGCAACGGTAGAATTGTTCCCTATCTGCGATGGACAGTTACGCTTATTACGTTTACGATTATTACTATTGTATGCCATAATCCGATTCCACATTCGTACCCTTGTATAGACCCCTACAAGTGAAACTGATGCAGCCGTGGGGGGAGGGGGGTGGTGGGGGTGTCGCACGACTCGCGGAGATGGTGGTATCACGTCCCTCGGTCGAAGATCCTCCAAAGTAAAATATCACCGCCCCGACTAAGAACAAACGAGCCAAAATATCACCGCTGTCATCACCTTCCTCAATGACCCACGGCGTTTCGAGTTGGTGCAGCTTCGTAAAAAAATTCCATGAGAGAGACTGTATTTGAACAAAAATCAGTACAGTACTCACACTTTGCCTTACCGCCACTAACAAAAGTTCAATGTAACCAACTCGGCTCACAGCCGTGCGTCTAAACAGTCTTGTTGATGAACAGTCCGTGGCTCAGCGCAGGAAGCCTAGACTAACGAATGCAAAAAGACAGTGGAGAAAAGCACTTTCAACTGTGGCAGGAGCAATCTCGTTAAGAGTTCGTGAGAAACGCGTTTTGGTGCCGGGCCTTATGACATTCTTCACGAAGGATGCTCAACACCTTCCCTTTCCACGTCCGCGGTGGTGCCACACATTGGAGTGGGCCTGGCGAGGGCTCCATTCAAGCATCACGAGTGAGAGGCGCGATGGGGGGGGGGGGTGCAAAGGTCGTCGTGAAAGGAGACGGACCCCCGGACGTGGTTCACAGTTGAAGATCTGCACGAGCTTCCGGTCACAAACATCGCCCCTTTCCCTGCGCGTCAGAAGTCCGGTGTCGGAGCATCCGCGGCACAGTGACGCGACTGTAAACAGCGGCGATGCAGTACAACGTCGAACATCAACGTCGAGCACCGTCCATTGGGATTGCATTCCAACGTAAAAATACGGTACACGTCACCCCGGGGATAAAGTATTGGATGGCACTGCACTACTTTATAGACTCCTTCAGTTGCCTAGAGAAGGCGAGTTTGCGCGTGCTTACGAATGACAGTGCAGGGCTGCCGTCTCTGGACGCTTCATAACTGGTAGGCATGGCTCAGCAACCCAAACTATACACTCGATGCAGTCCACTCTGTACAATGAAAGCCAGATTTTCAGCACTCAAGACTGCGTGGCTGATTATAAGAGTACAATGAAATACTTGTTGGCTCCTGCCTCATTTAGGATCAGTCACAATGAGTAGTTGGGCTGAAAGCCTCCTCTCTTCGATTGAAAGGTTGCTGGCAAACAAGCTTGAGTGTTGTGAAATCTTCCAGTATAGCTCTGGGCTTCAAGAACCTTCATTGAAATTGAGAGCTTAGCATAGATCAGTATCATTCTTGGCAAATACTTTCCCGAGTGTCACAGTGTAGCCTCCACCACACAACGAAGACCATCAAAGACAGTCTCGCTGACGCAATTGTTGTTACCATAGTGCCCCTTCATGCGTGGTCGGCATTGTAAATTTCAGTCAACCCCCAACTCACCATAAATGTATGGAGGTGGGCACAGCTTCCCATTCTTCACTGTTTCAGTCACTTCCAAGAAGACATGCGAGGGCAAGCTGAATAAGTGTAGAGTCTCGTAGCGTTAATAATATTGGTGTGCTCGCAACAGCACAGCAAAACCTATTTCAGCTCATTTGTAGGGTTAGACCATTGTTCTTTTGTCTTGGTAACGGGACGCCACGGTAAATGACTCCATGAACTTGGGATCTTGCGACACTGCGGCACTTTTAACAACGTTTCCCCGCTGCGTCTCCCAGCACCAACGCCATCCGCCCGCACCCAGAAAACCATCAGCGCAACGCATTGGCTTCATTGGTTGATTGCGAAAAACATTCCTTTCGCGTTTGAATGCTTCCAGCACCCTGCCCCCCCCCGCTTGCCCCCTCTAACCCCACCCTCCTCCGCGGTCATGCGGTCACGAGCGCGTGGGTACCGTCACGACGCCCACCGTCTCCACGGGAAACTTGCTCGGGGGCGGCTTCCGCGCGCCGTCACCGCTGGCGCGCAGGCTCGGTAAAGAGCCCGAGCGGCGTCGCAGCAGGCTGCTGACGAGCACGCCGTGCTCCCTCGCACCGCCACCGCTGCCCGCGGCGCAGTATGCCCGCGATCGCTTCCTCCTGGGCGCTCCCCGCTCCTCGCCGCCGCGAGGCCGCCCGTTCACCGCTAGCTTCACCGTCTGCGCGCAGGCGGAAGAGGAGGCGGAGGAGGAGGAAGAGGAGGTGCAGGAGGAGGAGCCGCCGCACGCGGAGCCCGGCGGTTGCGACAGTCGCGGTTCGTGCCCCGCGAGCGACGGGGGACGCCCGCCAGAGCTGCTGAAGAGGACGCCTGCGCTCGACACACCGGCACCCGACATGCCGGCGTTCGTCACACCGTTAGGCACGAGTGCACCGTTCAGCTTGTGGTGGCTGCCCTTGTCCAATAATGCCCGGTCTTCGGGATCGACGCTGGGCGTGTCCGACTTTTCCGTTTTGCATGGCTTGGCTCTTTTCCTCTGCAGGGGGGAAGATGACATCAAAATAAATATTTGCGAAATAAAAAAAAATCAATCGGTGCTCGAGGCTAGATACTGCACGTTGTGTGACAATGAATAAATGCAACACACAAATAGAGAAGCGGCGAGTTGAATCGTATAAGTTTGTACATTTTTATATGCTTACGGTAACTGCTTTTTGTGTTTAGTGTGTTGTCCTTCCCCGCACCTCCGATAAGCACGGTTGGCTACATATGGTGCGAAAGAAGTTCATCATACATACAACTGATGTACAAGCGTGAATGGCCAAGTGAAGCGTTGGGTTAGGAAATGTGAATTACAATCCGAAGGTTTACAAGTTCAAATCTCAGTCAGGGATCAACTTTGCTCATTATTCTTTCAAAGCCATAAAAAGTAGTGCCACTTTCTGGGAACACAATAGTGTCTGACATTTGTTAGGTACCAGCAACGTTAAAGCTGTTCAAACCCTAGCTGGGGACTGACTTAGCCCAACCTCCCTCTGGAATCAATAAAACTAGCTTCCAACTTTGTGAAAAGTCAGCAATGGTTGTCCTATGAAACGGCGTTTCCACATGTATGTACGTATGTATGTAAGTTACAGCAGCCCTTTTTGCCCACTTCCAGCAATTGTTTCTTGCTGTGGTTGTCCCACCTGATGACGGACGCTTGCGTTGCGTCCGAAACGTCGTGATTTAATTAATTTTCTTTTATTTTATACCTACGTGACTTCACCGAAAGAACCAACGAGTATGGATCCCTGCAATCACGAAAACTTCAAATCTAGATTATGTGGTCCTTCTTTCACACCGTATGTAGCCAACCATGCTAATCGGAGATGGAATTTCTACTCGTGCATAGGAGCAGTCAAGAAAAGATAATTGGCCAAACTCCCCCATTCATTAGCTTGCAAACCTCTTATTAGGTCGGTACAAATTAAGGGCATTGTTTTTATTAATATGTAGGTGGACTGCCTTGTGTGGACGTGAAAAGCAATGCAGGGTGCCACCTGACCTTTTTATGGTCCTGAAGAAACTGCAGCGGCTCCACGATGTACAGGTCACTGAGCACTGCGAGACAGGACAAGGCTGGCGTTAGCGGTGACGCTCGGACATCTCCGGTAACTAAAGCACGCTGCTGCTTGACGATGCCTGGAGGATGCAGGCCCCCCACGCCGGTGCATGGTCAATCTAAGTCTCAACAGGCTAAAGTCAACAACTACATAAATATCATTAGACCTCCTTTGCCAGTGCCAAAATGTAATAATAGGGTTTTTCCCCTTTTTTTCTGGCAACAAAACTGAAACCTTTTTACAAGGATTCATTTTACTGCATTAACCACAATACCTGCAGTCAAAATGCAAACAAAAAACATACTATGATAATATATGCATTGTCCTTGAAATTGATTGGTCCAAAAGGTGTCATCTGGTCGAGCACCAATTGGGTCGAGGCTCAAAAGAAAGCCGTCCCTTGGTGTGGACCAATCAGTTTCAAGGACAATGCATATATTATCATAGTATGTTTTTTGTTTGCATTTTGACTGCAGGTATTGTGGTTAATGCAGACATGAATCCTTGTAAAAAGGTTTCAGTTTTGTTGCCAGAAAAAAGGGGAAAAACCCTATAACTACATAAATAAATAAACAAATAAACAAAAAACATTTTTTTACAGTAAGACAGCGGAGCTGGTCAGGTGACTTGGGGATCCCATGATGCATGTGTCAGGGACACTGAGCTGAAGGTATTAAAATTCTGGGTTTGAATTAATTTTACAGCAATTTGTGATTAAAACAGGATGTCAAGTGTACCGTGTTTATGGTCACATCCTGGTTCCCTGACTGCATAAAGTAATCACCTTCATCACTTATTCGGTGTGATACATCTCTTGAGGACTTAAGCCTAAGTCTACCGACGGACAACAAATTCCCTTTGCAGGGCACATCGATTAGACGCGGGAATCCAACCGCAGCAAGCCGAAAAACAAACCAAACGGCATGTCGCGATGCGGCAGCGACCCCCACGGCCTCACCTGGCGACCTCGTGAGCTGCAACGACCTGGAGCGGGTGGCGCCGTTGGGGTGGAACGGAAGCTTGGTGCTGCCGCAGGTCATGAGGCACCTGCGGGGGCGGCACGGGAGCGCACCGCATGAACGCACGCAGCCAACATCACGCGCAACGTGGCGACGAGATGGAATTACGACTCGCGGTGTTTTGTTGTTGTGCGTTGCCAGGTGGCAGGTTGTATCGACGCCAGTGGCCCGGCAGGATGTCTCTAATCCGGCGCTCTTGTCGGGTCACATCGAACGCGTTTGTGATATACGCATACGCGACCTGCTGGCCAATAAGGACTGTCAATCAAGCGTAACACAGCGAATGGGCCGCAGACCTGTACATATGCATATTGGAGTGTTACCCCCACAGATGTGTGATTGGTTTTCCCTTCCGCACGCTCAACACTCGTTAAAGGACTTGGCCAAACATCCTGTGAAGAAACGTCCTGAATAAAAGGTCTTTATAGGTTCACAGCCCTCAGCTAGTGCTGGAAATTCTCCATTACTTTCGCGGGGGACTATCCACTGGGAAAAACACTTTTCTGGTGAAAGTGAAAGTATTATAATGATGCACGTTTACTGCGCTCGCCCAAGCCTTTGCAAAGCCTGCACACCGAATATAACTGCGTGGGTGTGGCCAGATACCTTGGCACTTGCAGCATCGGATTAAGTTTTATGGGGGCTCGGGTTTGTTATAGTTTTGGACCCCCTAATTGTATATTAAATTCCTACTGTTTTACAGCCAACCATGCCTGCTGCTCAACTCCCCATTGTTGCTTACCTTGGTTATTTAATTTCTGCTATTTAAACGTGATCTAACTGTAAAGCTAAATTAAATTTAAAATAAACAAAACTATTTTAATTTCGGCACATGACTGGTAGTTATGCACAAAAAGTTAACACTGTGGATTTAATTCGCCAAATTTTCGTTTGCACTTCATCGTAGAGCTGACCCGGGAGCGAAGGGAGGCCGGTACCCATGGCCATAAGCTGCACGTATGTCAGTTGATTTATAGAATGTTCCTTTACTACCCCTCTTCCCCCCTTATGAACATTTTCACTCACCCCACCCGCCCCTACGCAGGGTCCCCCCACTTGTTCGGGGCACCAGGCCCTCGTGTACCTCCCTCTACTACCGTCCTCGGCGCGCCGCTCGGGAATTCCTGTCGATTTATTTGCACCTCGCCTTTGGAATAGCGACGCACTGTACCGGGGCGCGCGATTTTGTTGCAATAAAAAAAAAGTAGTTTCTAATTTTTTTGGCCCTGGAATGCAGGTCCTAAAGCCCCCCGCGCATTAAATCCGACGCCGGACTGAACCCGTGCTGCGCTCACTGTGTATCGGGGTAGGATCCGCAGAGACTGCCGTCGCCGTAGGCGACGTTCGCGGTGCTCTTGGTGGGCGCTCGGGGCCGCCGGCAGCGCTGCCAGCAGAGCACGAACACCAGCAGCACGCAGACCATCTCGGAGATGAGCAGCGACACGTCGCGCTCCGACACCTGCCGACGCAAACCACGCCACGCCCCCGTCAACGGAGAGCCTCGCGTCCCACCGACAGGCACACGCCGGCTCGGCGAAGGAAAGTAGCCGGTTTAAGAGAGCGCACCCGTTGTGATCTGTCCGCCGCTGGATGAAGGCTTCCCAAGCTGTCGCCATGCCTATCAAAGTCTTAAAATGCAACATTGCATTAAGCTCCTGCACGTGAGCTGACTTGATCGCTGCTGGTGGAGGGTAGTTGTGCTACCACCAGCGCAAAACTTTAACTGCAGCTTTCAAACCTCTACACTCTATATTTGCCCTTGTTCTCCTTCGTTGCTTATTCAAAGTTACATTTGATCGAGAGGTAATTTCCAACGAGCCCAGCTACCACTAGCTATAAAGTTATCCCAGCTGAACAGAATGTATCTATCTGCGTGAGTAAGCGGACATTGGCCGATGTTCATCTTTGTTGGTGGCCCTAAACCAGAGAATTAACCACATTCTTGTGGAGGGAAATAGTTTCAGATAAAGTGTGTTTCGCCCATGTCTGCTGTGCGAAATAGGTCCTTAATCTCAATCGGCTGTCACCTGGTTCAATAACAAGACGCAAGTAATTGAATACTCATTTCTAGACGGCCACACTCAAGCAGAATTAATCAAAGCCTCTCTTGATTTATGCACCACTGGCACAACACCCTCCATATTATCATGGACCACCAACCGCAAAACATTTTTTTTTTCAAAATTAAAACTACCCGATCTGCAACAATTCCCCAGATGGCTTCCCACCACCTTGCGGTTCACAGGTTTGGAAGCACTGCTGCAGTGACTATCTTTACGGGTAATATTATGGCCCACTCTACGTGACATGACCCTGACGTGAAAGTGATTCCAACCTGACCGGCGGTAGGCTGGGTTCGTGCTGGACATGCTGATGCGTCTATTCGACCCTTCATCCGTAAGACGCAAACGTTTTAACACTTAGCAATGGAACTGGCATTATTCTCTTGGCACGCACACCGGTCGCTCACGCCATGCATTACCTTTGCCTGCAGAGTCTCGGTGGCCTGGCTGAGGTTGTTGATCAGGTCCGACAGGTTCCCCAGCTGCGCCTGCATCTGGTTGATGGTCTCAGACTGTCTCTTGTCCTAAGGCACCAGCAACGGCAGCACAAAAAGAGGACGGGGCCTTAGCGGTTGGCTCCACCGTGATCCCGACACCCGAGCGAGCTCCAAAAACCCGACAGCGTCTAAAAGCGGTTACCGCCCAATACTGGCATACTTCCACGTGTGTGCATGCGTGCTATTCAGCAGCATGCCCGCTAGTTGACCGGCAGGAAAGTGGGGTGGCAATGCCACTGGTTCAACTGCTCGTGAACAGAGAAGTGACATGAGCAAAGATAGAACTAGTTGAGTGAGGATGTTCCAAACCAGTTTTATTTAGCTGCTCGTATGTATGTTGAACTTCTTCCGCACCGTACGTAGCCAACCGTGCTAATGTGAGGCGCGGGGGAAGGACAACAAGCTAAACACAAAAAGCAGTTCTAAAGAAATTAGTTGTAAATGTTTAGTTTTCAGATGATTCTAATAGGTTTCTGCTAATTTAAGCCAGCTTAAGCTTACATGGGTATATAAGAGGAGGTATGGTTTACAGTTGCCCCCATTATGGAGCGTTGAAGAAATGCTGCCCTGGTAATTCACTAATGTGCTGACCTGCTCCTCCGCAAGGCGAGAGGTGTTCTGTAACTTGATGATGGTCTTATTGAAAGCTTTCTGCATCTCCTCCATCTGCTTGCGATACCTGCGGAATGGATGCACGGAACACACGCGGCTATGTTTGAACAAGGAAATGCACCGTTAACCTGCGAGAGCCAACTGCCAGACAGCCCATCGACGGACATCGCCTCTGCATTAATGGAGACATAGATAAATGTGACTATATAAGGTAATTTGTTTTTTGAAATGACTCTTAGAGTACCCGTTGCTATGCAATAGAATATGAGACAGCTCTCATTTTCATGCTTGTCTCTCAATCCTGTACCCGGAAGCACTAAAAGTAATCTTCTTTTTTACGTAATAAAATACCAAGATACTCTAATGTGTTGTGAGGTTTTTACATTCTCTAGGATTTAAAAATATTCTGGCAAAATAATTACATGAACAGGAACACAAATTTAAATGTAAAAGCAATGTGAAATGAATGTCAGTCTTCCGTATTCGTTACTCCCACTTCTACGCTGTTGCCATCTATTATGTTAACTACCTTGCCTGGTATACAGGTCATAGGTTCGATCCCGACCCCTGCTGTATATGTGGAGTTTGCATGTTCTCCTCGTGGTCAAGTTGATTTTTCTCCAGGTCGTCCGGTATTTCCCTCTACATTTATAAACATGCGTTGAAAGTATTTGGCTGCTATAAATTTCCACGTGATAAGCCACTTCGTTGAGCTATCATTTGTGGCCAGGTCACTTTTGAAAGAGCTATATAGCTCTTAGTTTTCAAATATTCGTTTTCATAGGAGTATGATGTAAAATGTTACAGTAGCCTTCTGTTGAGAATGTGGACAAAAGGAATTCTCCACAGGAATCCCACTGCTGCCTCTGTACAGACGAGATAAAGCATACCCAGCCTTCTTATCTTATTTTATAATTATAGAGAGCGCACAACGTACAGTTTTGTGAAAACTCTGCAGGGGCACTTTGTGAAAGATATTCAAGATTACGGCATCGTGATCACAACAATGAAGAGGATGATGAGAATGACGAACCATGACTACGGTGACGGTGCAAGCAATAACTGGGATGACGAACGTATTTTTTATATTTTGAAAATGTTGAAGACGATGATGACAATAATGATGTGCGGCGAAAAGGATGTGCAGTGTGAAGGATTGTCTACTGCAAGGTGCCTTGGTAGTGGTTTTTCTATGAAAGATTATTATTTACGATGACGAACACTGTGGTGATACCCACGATCACGATGAGGGTTTACACTCATAATTAATATCATCGTGATGATAACGACCATAGCGAGAATAATGATGACAATGGCAACGCTGCCTCCCTGCTCTCCTTCATAACGAAGGCAGCAGATCTCCCCAAGGGGGCATCGGCGTGTGGCTTCAGTGATGGCACGGGTGGCGTCGCGAGTGGCAGGTGCAGAAGCGTAAGTGTGTGAGTCAGTGAGCGGGTGACGTCCACCTCTGGCTAAGCTCCTCCAGGTAGCGGCTGCTGAGCGACATGTTGACTTCGAGGGCCTTGATGCGATTGTTGAGACGCATGAACACAGACTCCTTCTGGCTCGAGCCGTGCACGAGACCGCCCGGAGCGAGCGCAACTTCGCCCGCGATGCTCGCCTCCGCGTAGAACTCCGACGCCGCAGCCGCGGCTGCAGCAGCGGCAGCAGCCGCGGCCGCAGCGACTGTACTGCCCACGGTAGTGGGAGGCAATGCCCTGGTTGGTGCGACAGCGCAGGCAGCCGCGGTGACGGTTCCGGTCAATGGATGGGTGGCGGGCGAGGCCGAGGTCATGCGCCAAGTCGGCGTTTGGTAAACAACGGCTTAGCGAATGAGAATAGTCGACAATCTAAGCGCGACTATTCGTTGGTAACGGCAGTGTTCAATTGTTACGCGATGTCGCAGCAAGTTGTTCAAACAGTGAACTCAATCAAAAGAGAGATACAGTAAAACCGTGAATTGCGAGTAACTTGGTCTGCGAGTGTTTTGCAAGACGAGCTAATTTTTAAAATAAATATTAATTTGGTAAACGAGCAAGGTCTTGCAATACGAGTAGTGTACGTGTACGCTTTGTCTGCCGAGCGTCACGTGATCACAACTGACATACGAGTGCTTTGATATACGAGTGCTTTGGATTACAAACACGTTTCCGGAACGAATTATGCTCGCAATCCAAGGTTTTACTGTATTTATATTTTAAGTATATGGGAATAAAGCTTCCCCAATGTTACGTTAATTGACAGTAACATAAAATTGCTGCATTTAATGAGAACAGACGGGGCTCAAATGAGAACCAAGTAATTTAAATATTGAGTACATGAGCAGAGCATCGTTCACTGCTGTCAATAGAGGGAATTGTTTAAATGTGATGTCGTTTGAGGACAGAGTTGCAAAGGAGGCGTGAAGCTCAACATGCAATTATTATCATTCTCCTTTGAAAAGTAAAAATGTGTCTCCTTGTTCAAATAAGCTTAGCGCAGTGTTCTTATGCTCTCTGGCCATCACCCAGCAGTGAACATTAAACATTTCCATGATGGAGTTCAGTCTCTCCCAAGGTCAACCAATGATGACTTCCCACAAAGTAGTACCCATTATATGCTGCACAGATGATGGGGCCCAGTCGATCCACCCTAAGTATAGGAACTCGCAACCTTCCAATTGAGATGTACTTTACGTATAGTATGTTAATGAAGCCTCAGACTTGCCAGTGATGATAACTTATTTTCGATTGCACTAATGTGTCGTCTTTGACACCTTCTGAAACCCTGCCTCATTTTCGAGTCTCCGAAACCCCGAGGAGTCACAAAAATGATATCGAACACAGGGAAGGTCGTCGCACTGAACACACCTGCCATTTCCTGCTCCTTGTACTGCCGACTCCTCCACTGCGAGCAACTCTCCAGCTGGGGTGGACGCTGGCAGAGTCCTGTCAACGGTGTCCACTACCCTGTCTCCAACCGTCTCCACCGTCTCAGAATGCTGCGTGGGGGGCAGCACAGCCACCGCTTGCGTTGCTGCATCACCCGTCTGTTGCTGCGCCTGCTGCTGCGCCTGCTGCTGCGCCTGCTGCTGAGTCTGCTGCTGCTGCTGCTTCGGAGGCGTCGGCTGAAGCGTCTGCGTCTGCGAGGGCTCCACAGGAGTCGACGCCGCCGTCGAAGCCGTTGTCGCGTTCGACACCGAGCCCCCGTCGTTTGTCTCGGCCGCCCCCAGCACGGAGGAGGCGGCGGAGGAGGCGGCGGCAGCTTGATCCTCGAACGTGTCAGGCGGCGACGCTTCGGCTACGATCTCCGTGTCCGGGGGAGCCGCGGCGTTGTGTTCTGCGGCGTGGCTCGGAGTGACGTCCACCGCCTGCTGCTCCTGAGCAACGCCACGCTCGGGTGAGGCCGCCGCCGACTTGGCGTCCTCCGCTTTGGCCTCGGCTTGAGGTCCCGCCGCCTCCGTCGGTTTCTCTCCGCCGTCGCCGCCCGGGCTCCGCTCGGCCGGGGAGGACGGCCGCTCCGCGCCGGCGGCCTCCGTGTAAGCGGCGGCGGGGTGGGGTGGCAGCAGACAGCGCTCGCCCAAGAGCCCCGAGCCCGAAGAGGTTTCCGACAAGTTCACCTCGCCGGCCTCGGGCAACGTCCCCGCGTGCTCGGGCCCGGCGACGCGAGCGCCCGCCGCCGCCGTCATCGAGTCCTCGTCGGGGGCGTCGGGGGCGGGAGAGGCGGCGCTCTCCGGCGGTGCCGGAGGTCGTGGCGCCCGCCGCGTGTCCCGGTCCCGCCACGGGAGGCACATGCGCAACGCCAGCTCGGGCAGGCGCGCAGCACACGAGCGCCCAAGCGCCGCACCCCCTCCCCCGCACAGCGTGCGTGTCTCCGCGTGAAGCCACGCCGCCCGCAGCTCCTCCAGCCAGGGGGACTGGTCCTCCTCGGGGCCCAGCTGCGTCACGATGCTTACCGGGGGCGCCAGCCCTGGTGGGGCGGGCGACTCCGCCAGTCCCACGGTCTCGCGTTCCTCATCGCCGCCACCTTGGGTCTCATGTTCCTCGACATCGTCTTCGCCCTCCAGGGGAACCACCACGGGGATCAGCGTGGGGGGGGGCGATTCCTCCGAAGCGATGTGGTTGGCGGCGTCCGTGACTGAACCGTTTTCCGTCCGGTTGCCCGCAGGTTGGGCGCTGAAATGAAACGACACGTTGTCTTGGTCAGTGCGAGAGAAAGCCCCTCGAAGCTCTGCCTCGTATGTAATGTTGTTCTCAACGTCACATTGACGTGTTCATGCTTGCATTGTTACGTACGCAATTTCCACAGGCGGCGAGGTGGAGCTGTTTGCTGATGTCTCGTTGCTCAAGCTGCTGACGTTATCTAAAACATAACAAAAGAAAGCCACCATAATTACCATGCACCACGATATATATTTTTTACAAAGTATATATTGAAGAGAGAAATGAAGTGTTTTGGCAGTCCTAATAAATGTCAACTTGGTTACCAACATTACTATCAGCTTTGTATTTTATGGGCCCAAAACCCCAAAAATTGTACCTCCCTGTACCACTAAGTGGCAAAATTAAAGTGTAACGATGTCCCTTCAAGCCCAGTAAAGGTGAATTACATAATAGTTTCAAATGAATTCCTTCATCCGAGTAAATCGCACAATTCACTTTTATTCGTCATAGAATTAAATCACGACAACAAGGTGGCAATAGCGACGGCTCTGGCCCAAGGACAGGCGAAAGAACAAACCTAATGAAGAAAATAATAATACAAAGGCTTATAGAGTTACCGGTCAGGTGAATGCAAAGTGAGCCCCACCAGAGAGCACGAATTTTGCAGGAATGTATTTTCATTTGTCCCCCGGGATAGCCTAGTGCAGTGGTTCCCAACCTGTACTCCGCGGATCAAGAGTGCTCCCTCAGGCCGTGGGAAGTGGTCAACAGGGATGTTGCAGATACAACTTGTTTTCACAACACGCCATATTTTTCAGCCATCTTATTGGCCTAAAATACCATGATATATAGAGGACCGCAGAGCTTGGGAGGGGGTGTAATCCGTGTGGCTGCCTTTCCATGTGGTTCTTACTCGTGCTCCCGAGTCGTTCCCTTTTCTTTTAGAGGGTTAGTGAATGCTGTGCGACGGCACAGTAAAAGTAGAAATTACATATTATCTAGCTAGTTTATATACTTATTCAGTTATTTTTTTTTACAATGCGAGTCAATAAAAAGCAACGTGTTTGTTTCACGGCATCAGCATTTTATAAGCACTGTTCGAGACGTGTTAATTTTGAAAAACACATTACTACTGGTGCATGGTGGTCCAGGAAAATGCTCTGAGGGTTTTATATTGATCCGCAGGTGCAGAGGTTGGAGACCACTGGCCTAGTGTTGGGTACAACCGCTACTAAATCAGCTGTGCACAACGTTTATGCTTTTATACCCAACTGCAGCCACCCTGGGAATCTCTCGCAGAACGTTTCATCTGATATGAAGGGGGAAATCGCGGGACACCGCTGCAACATCATTTATTGGCAAGTAACAGGTGATGGTGTGGCAGCATGACGGCACAAATCAAAACACTTTTACCCGTAACTTTATTGAGTTTAAAACAATAATGCACGTCAAATGTGTAAAGCGATAACATAGATTGTAATGTGTGGAATGGCTCGATGAGTCGGATAATATATTTTGCAGCATGGTCCTGCTTTGCCCAATTAATTTGTCAACGGTGTTAAACCTGGATAAAGCCCGCGCATGAGAATGGACAGCGTGTTAAACGGCGCACACGCATCACTCAGTTAACCTGCACGCACAAATGGCTCCGACCAATCGCGTCTCTCTGTTGCAACAAGGGACGGTGTGACTCTCAACGGCTCTCGCCACCGTTAGCGATACTGTGGAATGGTCACAGTTAATGGTGAACTCACCGTGGGGAAACGTGGAGGATTGCGACACCTCCGCTTCGTTGCTTCCGCCGAGCACCTTGGCCGCAATGTTCACCATGCTGAGGATGGCATCTAAAAAGGAGGGGGGGACACGCAAGCGGGAACGAAACTTAGGTCATCAAAATTTACACTCTCAACGGCTCTGTTATTATTATTTTTTTTTCATCGAGGGATGAAGAAAGTGGAAATGGTAGGAAATTTAAATCACAGCTTCACAAGGCAGGAAGGGGGCACCACTTGTCACAGTGCCCATTACCAGCTTCAACGTGGGGTCTTCCACACTCAAAAAGCTGCTTGAAAATAAAACAAAGGTATGGAAATTTAAGCCACACTATCCTTTTAAAGGGATGAAAACAAAGGTATTTATGAACACAATGTCTCTCCCTATTTGCATGAAAAGTGGACACCTCTATTGTGTTCCCCAGTCATCTGTTGGACATTGGTCTGAGTTGATTAAATATTAAGTGCATGATAACAGCACTGTTAGAAGAGAATAGAATTGTAAAACACATGATGCGACACAAAAGGGAAGGTAATGTAAACATCAGAATTCAAATATTTCCAGTCTCTATTCAAATGTCATCTCCGTTGGCAGCCCTAAACCAGTGGTGGAAATCTACACTCCTGTGACAGGTACCAGACTCTCCACAGGATAATACCTATTCATTTCTCATAATACGATGCTCATTCTATCGGCTCAGCCCCTGATAGGGATTAGAACTCAACATTTTGTTTGTGGGTTGTGAATAAACTAAAATGTAACAATTTTTTATTTTACCAGGTAAGGGCCACTGAAGCTATATAGCTCTTTTTCAGAAGCGACCTGGCCACAAATGATAGGTCAATGAAGTGGTTTATCACGTGGAAAATTATAGCAACTAAATACTCGAAACGCGCGTCTATAAATGTGGAGGGAAAAATCGGAGGAACCGGAGAAAAAATCCACGTGACCACGGGGATAACACGAAAACTCCAAATGTACAGGAGTCAGGGTTGGGATCAAACCCACGACCTTCTGTATACCAGGCGAGGTAGTTAACATCTAGCCACTGTGGCGCCCCCTAATAGGTAGTGTCACCCGGCTGTGACTGGAGAAGGGGCTCAGGTGTCAGGGCACCGTGTCTCACCTGTGGCAGATCCGATAATATTTTTGGAGTCCGTGTCCATTTTGCTTCCATAATCGATGGGGTAATCTGGTGAAGGGCGATTAACATCAAAGTAACAGCATTGCATTAGGGCAATATTATCTCAGGAAGACACCTCATTACCATTGTCTGGTCAACAACACTGTATTCTGAATGAATAATGTTAAACAAGCCCATGTTTCGGGCAATGGAACTTCTTCATAACAGGGCAGTTCTTTGCGTTTTATTTCAGTTACTGTTTTCAAAGAGGCCAAATTGTGAGGCTCCAGGAGGCGTATGTGCAGCCAATCCGTTTGAACAGGGTCTTCTAACCAGAACCACGTGGACAGAGTTGGCAATACGAGTCTTCCCCTTACATTATCGGAGCCTCCTAAGAAGAGGTGAGCGAGACTTTACTCAGTCAACGATGAAGTAGTCGAGCCTCATTCAAGCGTATTCCAATGTTCTTCTTATTCTTCTTTCGTACGGTGCATTGCAGAGATAGGCGACGTGATTTTTTCGAACGGGAAGTGTTACAGATGCTCTTCCCAATTCGAGAGCCCTTCCCGAGCATTTTGTTAACGACCGAGGCTCACCGGAGTCTTCATCGATGATGCCGGGCACCTCGGGGTTGTAGTGAGACTCGGCAATCTCTTCGTACTCCTCCACCATGCTGGTGCCAAACACCCTGCAAGCAAGAGGCAAATGTCTCTCTCTCTCTCTTAGCGAGGACAAGCCCTTAGCAAATCACGATCTTCACTGCTAACATGTACCCAAAAGATTATACAGCGTGCTAATGGTACAGGTAAAGTCCCTTCTGTTGGCAAGCACCAACCTATTGAATATCTTTATGAGCTGCCATCGATGCTTGCTAAGCACATGGATGGGCACGCACGTGCACGAGTAAGCACAAGCGAAGGTAAAATTATAATTTACTAGCTTTACTACCCGGCTTCGCCCGAGACTTGGATTCTTGTCTTGGATTAATACACGGCCTACGCGGAGGATGGGGTGGGGGGGGGATGCGTGACGTCAGCAGGCACACTGCGTGATGCTGCTGCATGCGGGTGACATCACAGATGTGACGTCACCACTCACTTGCCGTGCAAAATATATCCATTATTGCGCCCCCACCACCCCCCCCCCGAAATAGAAAAGTCTATTTTTATACTTTTTGCATTGTATACAGTCTGGAAGCTACCCAAATGCCAAATTTCAAGTTTGTTGCATGTCGGGAAGTATGCTAAACATTTCGAACAGACACACATTCACAAATTTCCCTTTGATATATATAGAAGACGAGAAGCCTAAGGAAAAGGTTATAGACTGTGTGCAATTGACCCCGATAATGACGTTGCAAATGTAACCACTAACGAACATTCATCCTCATGACCACTCACCTGATGAGGCTCAGTGGACAAAAATGTTCTTTTCCAAAGTGAGACAATAGCTCCACCTAAAATCCAGACAATACAGCATTAAAAGCAATGACACGACCAATATGCAATCTGCATGTCTGCAGTCAACCGTCCCATGCTGGGCATTCCCATCGTTATTAAAATTATGATCCCATACGTTTGTAATCTGGCCGGGTGGCATTGTGGTTGGAGAATTTTACTCTCAGAGAATTAAAGGTTCAAATTACGTTTGGGAGTCAACCCAGCCCATAATTTCCCACGAGTCGATAAAAAGAGCGACCACTTTGTGTTAAGTCAAAAGTGGAGATCGCCTGTAGAAAGAATGGTGCTTGCCATCGGAATGTGTAATTCCCACCACTGGCACAAGGCTATCAACAAAGATGACCAAAAGATACAATTGGTGTTTTATTAAAATCGCGAACAACAAACTGATCGACCATTTGACAAGGTACGCATGGCTCAACAGCACTCAATTTACATATGAGTGAAGCAGCAATTGATTGGAGATGTTATTTGTGCAGGGCAGGAATACGTCAAGGGGCTCGCTTGACTGAAGCAACGCTCCTAAGTTGCCCGACACTGCAAAAGCTAACAGAGGTGCGCCCCTCCTTTAGGCGCAACCACGCACGCACGTGAACGGTAAACGCTGCGTGATCATCTTTGCCGTGCGCTGCGTTGAAAATCACCGGGGGAAAAATAGGAGCAAGCGCGAGAGCTCGCACGGCAGCCTCTGCTCGTGAATTAACATCACCCACAGCTGTTGTGCATGCAGGCGACAATGCTCCCTCCAGTGTGCAGCGCCGCGCAATAAAGCTGAAGCTGGGGACTGAGACCCACTTAAAATAACCAACATTGCCCGGTGGGTGGCAACACCGATGGTCAAAAAGACAGCACGCGCGGCGGTGCAGGGTGCATGCAGTGCTGGAGTGTACGGATGTTGAACTTATGTTGCATCGTACGTAGCCAACTGTGCTAATCGGAGGTGCAGGGGGAAGGACAATACACTAATACCTACCTACTTTATCAAGGGCGATATTAGCACGTAAAATCAAGATTGTTCGATTGATTCATTTGTTTTTCTTTCAATGGGTAATGCTGTATTACATGAGAGCAGCAACTAGAGTTTGACACGTGGCTGTGCTGAGTTTTTCTGCGCGGTAAATTTAATTCAGCCAGGTAAGAGCCATCTGTGACAATAAGTTCCTTAACAGGTGAAACCTGGGGACAAAAGATTAAAATAACGTCAAAAAGAGTTCAAAGGTATTTTTCTACATAGACCACATATAATAATATAAATGCAGGCAGTAAAGCATTAATATTTATGTTAAATAATACATAATGCGCTAAAATAATGTACTTGACATTATTTGTTGGGTTTATAGTTCGGTTTGGAGTAAGGCTATGCATGTCTTTCAGAGCAGAGTTAGTCACACAGTCCGTAAACCCCAGGTGAACCTGTAATGCAGTGACCAAACATTCCAAAGCAGGAGCCTCCTTGAGAAAAAGTCTTAAGATTCAGTGGGGCTCAACTAAGAAACACACGTATCAGTGCAACGTAGTAGTTATTCATACGTTGTAACAAGCGTCCTTAAATCACTTTAGGACAAATGAATTGTGGGTAAGTTTATAATTTGGCCCCAATTAAGAGGGTTAGGAAATGGGTTGGCTTTTGAAATGAAGAAAAGGAAATTCTAATTTTCCGGCACTGGATTTGACTGCTCAAGCGGGGTTGTGTTCTGTGTCTCGTCTCCCTGCATCAATGCATTTCAAAGCATCACCCATAACGACAGTTAATCACATTAGCTAATTACTTTACGCATTAGTGAATTAATTAGTTCGTCTGATTGCTCGCTCACACGTGTACTATCTTCTGGGATTATGCTGAGGTGTTTGCCACCCGCCCTAACCCCTAACCATGATATCCCCAGCAGATGCAGTTCTTCTACTTAAAGCACATTGGATTTTTTTTTTAATCACAGCCAACTGCCTTCCACCAACACGGTGCTTTCCGAGGGTGTGATCAAGGAGTCTGTTTTGCCATTTGGGATTACACGAAACATGTTCTTCTCACCTTCACCGATTGCCATTAAAAGCCTGCACTTCATTCAGTGTTTATTAAAGGAATACGCAACCCACACAACTAATAGTTCTTGTCTTGCAGAGACACATCTAGGCTGCGAATCCCGCACTGTAGTAGTTGATGAGCTAAAAGATTTCGTTTATTTTCAGGGACTGTTACTCAAAGAACTGAAGTGATGCGACAGTGATGTCACTGCTGCAAGTTTGAGAATAACTTTAAAGTATTTTATTACTACTAACCAAACACCAAACGCATGTCGGACAGCATGGGATACAACAGCCTACGTGTGTCGTAGGGATGAAATCTCGGATTTAATGAAATTTTCATTTAATTATTTCAGAATTTGAAGGATAATTTCGAATTTTTTTTCAGATTGACATTACGTCTGCAGTGTATACAGACTAACGAAAGTGATGTCACCTCATACCACGTGACGCCATATTAGCCAAGAAAAGTGTGGACATGACTTCACGTTAGTGACATCACTTCCAGTTTCTAGAACAATCTGAAAAAAAACTTTTTTTTTGCCGGATCAACTGAAATTTTATATCTAGGCCACATGTTTCAGATAATTTTGAGTGTATTGCTACAATGGTGGTAGGGGGTTTAGGTTGTGTCTCCATTTAAAAGGTGCTTGTTTTTGTTCATTTGCGCTCTAGATCCCCAGCTTCATCGAGACCAAATTCACATCTTAATTTGCAACAACAAAAAACCCCGCGTGCTCCCAGTATGCAGAAAAGTCCGAATTCGTCAAACAAGCGCGGGGATTAACACCGGTGCACAGCTCAACAGCAAACGGACGCGACTCAAAAATACCTTTATGTATTTGGCGAACATCTGAAGACGGCAATATGGAGCAAAAGTCAGAACAGAAGGAAAAACACAATCACAAAGACACAACGGCCTCATTTTCTAAAGTTACTCGTCTTGGGAAAATAAATTCGGTATCAATGCATTGCATGTTTGCATCATGCAAAACGGTCACAGTCGTATGGCGAAATGTTCTGCTTGTCACCGATGTGTCGATGTAATTGTTGTGTAAGAATATTCAGAATGAGACAGTTTGAGTGATTTGAATTTGCACGATATTCAAAGACAGTAGCCACACAGTGACAATATTTATCAACAAAAAATATTCCACCAATGCTAATCATGTAGTCATAGCACAGCTAAAATCCTGGTTCAGGGGTTTATTCAGCCATCATTCCTCCGGGGTCAATTAAAATGATCACCACTTTGTGGGAAGGTCGCAATGATCATCCCAAAGGAAGGCTGGCCTACAGTACGCAATTCAACCGAGCATAAGCAATGCTTGGAAAGACATTTATGATTTCAGCTGCCACTCCACGAGTCCGTGTCGGTTAGAAGGTCATACAGTCCTGTGCCCTAGGCTGTCTTCTCCATTGACAGCTGCAAGCTCAGGGCTTACTCAGCAAGCTCGACTGCAGTTAACCGCAGTGGATTCTGGTGCGCCAGGACGCGTTTGTGCACGTGAATTCGCGTGCTTGGCAGCACTACCCAAGACTTTCAATTTTGGTAGAATATAATTACACGATGGTCGCGGTTGAGACGAATGTGGCAGCCAAAGAAGGGAACACGCCGCCGAAGATTGTCGCATCACAAAACCGTGGGGAGATGGCGATGGGCTTGGGAAGGCCTTCATCCACCGGTGGAGCGATCACGGCTGATTATGTCAATGATGATGGTATAAAATAATAATAATAATAACAAAATATGACTTAGATTTAAATAACGTCTACATGCAGATTGCTGCTGTTAGTCCCCGACTATGGGAAATTGTCGAGGCATGTAAAGTGTGCCAAGCAGCCTGACGTGACAGCTGCACCAAGCTGCAGCAGAGGTTGCAACAGCAATACCTTGAGGAACTTGGCAAACATCTGCTCGTCGAGCGGGAAGCTCTGGACAGTCCTCTCATCGCGCGCGTGGAATTTGCCCAGCTTGTTCCACTCTCTTGTCGGGTACCTACAAAACGCAAAGAATCTAAGGTCATCGCTTTCGCGTCTTAGCTCGTTCCGGGGGAAGTGTTTGTTAGCGAGCACCTATTGTTATCAACCCTTTCCCGTTCCGATAACGTATGTGTACGTCATCAGCTTTTCTTTATCGGTACTGAGGCTCTTACAAGGCCGTGCGTGGGAGGGCGTGTGCCACAGTTTGGTGCCAGCTATCGTCCGGTTGTGTCACTACAGTTCTCTGCGGTGACTACAATGTCTTTAAAAACAACGGCGCTACGCCTCTCTAAGTAAAATTAACACCGAACCGCTTGAGCATTCCGAGATTGAACAGGACCCACCGTGCAACTTTCAGATGTCTCGGAACGGGAAAGGGTTAATAGGACTGGCATGCCAAGGGGTGATTGGGGCCGGCACCGTGGACGTCCGGCTGCCCTTTGTTTCTCTGGTGGTGTTGTTGATGCACAATTGTAGCAGGCTATGTTGAGCAAGGAGAAGCATACCCTCCGAGGTGTACACGTCCAATTGCCACTGATGTGGGTTGCCAATAATCCTAACGTGCTGCACTTTGATCACAGTACAGTGCAATAACCATTTTACCATTGTGCTTATGTGTGTGTCTGTGGGAACGCATGTGGCCCTGGGCCTCCTCTAGGTCAATGTAGCCTTAAATGAGTACCTGGTGTGGTGTGTAACTATCAAAGGCAACTGAAAGTGGTAGTAGCCACCTACCCCACTGTACCGGCCTTCATGGGTGCTCGCGAAGAGCACTTGCCCCAAGAGTCTGTTCAAGATTATGGGGGACCTCTGTTTTTATATATGTGTTTGTCGCTGTATGTTTTGCATGTGTGTCACAGCAGTTTGTGCACTGCGCTACGAACCTGGCGACCCGTGTTTCGTTGCCGCTCATGACCAATAACAGCGGAGAATATTTGTACCGGTCCTTGGCCTCACCTAGTTATACCCGGCCTGATGCGGTGTGTAACATCGGCACTGTGGAGATAAACGTGGCCGAGCGTGATGTTGGCCATCCACCCCTCCTAACCCTAAAAAGGGAACTTGGTGCAGTGTTAAGACCATCGATCCCAGGGAAACAAGGCATCCTCCACCATGGTGCTAGCCACACCACCCCTCATGTGCCTTGCCGTCCTTAACAAGTTCTCCCCGAGGCCAAACAGGAGATTGTTTTGACGTACGCGCACGAGATGCAGATACACAGGGGACGCTTCGCCAATTATGAAACTCGTGTCAGTCCACGAAGAGGGATGCCACTTTGGTTAGCAGCGCAGGTGCTACAGCTGGCTTACCGGTCGCTGATGGAGATGAGGAAGTCTTGAGGGGTGGACGAGAAAAGCTCGAAGTTTGCGATGTCGATCTGCTTCACTTGCACGGGCTCGCAAAGCTCAATCACAAACCTTGGGGAGGGACGGCGAGTGCACAGAGCGTCGGGATAGCGGCGCGTGGAGCGACAGCAAGGGTTGAATACGCAACTTGGAAGAACAGGTTGGTCCCTTCACCTGATGAAGGCCACTTGTGTTGTGGTCGAAACGTCGTGATTTTTGTCATTTTTTTGTACCTACGTGACTTTACCCAATAGAACCAAAGAGTATGGATCCTTGCAGTCACGAAAGCTTTAAATATAGAATAGGCAAGGTTAAACTTAGGGCACACTAAAAGACAAAGATCCCTCGTATAGCCTGAACAGACTGTTGGGGTAATTTCTGTTCACGAGTAGCACCTATGAAGGCCGACACGGGACACAAAGAGGTGGTTGGCCAGCACCACGTCCGGCTGCCTTTGTCTCCCCAGTGGTCATGTTTACACACTGCACCAGGCACTCATTTGAGGATGAGTCGACCTAGGGGAGGCCCAGGACTTGTTCAGATATTCGTCAATGTTGTTGGCTATGAGCTGGAAATTGAACTCGGGTAGCCGGGTTTGTAGCACAGTATGCTAACCGCTACACTATTGCTCTAGCTACATCACTGTGTTACTGTCACTAGAATGACATTCACACAATAATGTAGCTAGAGCTCTATGACGGCAACACTGACCATGACTTTAAAGTCTAAACAACACTTCGCACTCTGTTGAACACAATAGCTTAGTCATAGTTCAACATCAGAGGTATTTGCTTTTTGCATTGCATCTGAAGTGGCAGTCACCTGTGATTAAACCAGATTTTCAAGTTTGTAGCCAGTGTAGTTATTTTCAAATCAGTGTATTTCACATGTCAAACTATATATCCACACCTTAAAAGAAGCTGACAGTACGCGTTGTAACTAGAAAGCAAATAGGAAATGTTTAATGACTAAAGGTTCTCATGCACAAAGCCTGGTGGGTACCGTACACATTTCCGAGCAGAGCACTAGCACGCAATGACCGACCATGCAAATGTTGTCATAGGAATTCTGTTATTTATTTCGAAAGTACACATTTGCATTGCCAAGTTTTCAAGCATCGTCGTAAAAAGCCCCATTTCTTAGGAAACGTCCCATCTACTAAAAGGCAAAGCAGAACAGTGTATTTGCCAGTGTTCGCAAGCTTTGCATACGTTCCTCCTTAAAACTCCAAGGCATGACCTAGGCTGGCTTCACAAAGTAATAAAAGCGCGCACGATGATTTCACCACACCACCCTGGGGGAGGGGGCGGTTTGCCTTCCCTACTGGACATATGTGAAACAGAGCTTCATAGCTTATCGGATTCCTCCAGTAAAAATAAGCAATCTGATTTTGATTCCTTTGCTTGAGACACATTAAGAGTCTTCCGTGCCGGTGGAACACACTCCGCATGCATGGCCTGTTGCAGGCTTGGCCAATGAGACCTCAGTGTGGACATTTTTTATTGGCTCGACACTTACTGGCAAATGCTGCGGCCGATTGGTCAATTTTGCAGCAGAAGCTTTACGGGGGGTGCGATCAGTGCAACACGTGACCCTTTAATTGCTTCTCCACATTGTGACGGTGCGTAATGACAGAAGAGATGACGGATGTCAATGCGGTTGGGTCAGCGCAATGTATGCGGCTGTGTCAACTGAACTAACTAACGGCCATACATGCATAAGTCCATGAAGATATATATTATTCTTAGTTTCTTCGGTAAAGTCACGTTGAAGAGAAACAACAAAATAATAAAATATATATAAAACAATAAAAAATTCTCACGACGTTTCGACCATAACTCAAACGGTCATCTTCAGGTGTGTTGGTTTGCATAAATGTATTTTTAAACGGCGCATTTATTTATTTATTTAAAAAACGTTAGCGTCACGCGCAGCGATTTGGCAGTTTACCCAGGACTAGTCCATCTTTATTTTGAAAAGAGGAGGGGGGAGACGAAATTTTTTATAATGTATGCTGTCTGAAAGCCACTGTAAGCGTGAACAATCAATTAAGAACTGAAATGGTTTATCAAATCTTTCCAATGATTGCTAAGATAGAATCCATCTTCTCGGTTGAAATTGTCTCTGTGCTTGTATATGTGGATAGCCTCATGAATGAATCTCTCATGGAAGCCAGATGGCTTACAAAGAACCTCTGTCTTGGAAAAGTCAATGGCATGTGAGCCTACTGAATTAGAACAATGATCTGCTACGGCCGAGGTGTTGGTCCTACCGTGTTTAAGGTCTGCTTTGTGTTCACGAATGCGGTCCGTTGCCTCTGTGGTAGTAGTTACATTGGAGAAACCAAACGCCATGTCTCGGAATTGTTTTACGTGTGTGTACATGAATGTGTATTATGGATAAAAAATGTATTTCATTATTTCAAATATTGATTTTTTGGAATTTTAGGCCCAATTTTAAAATGTATTTTGAAACATTAATCACTACATTTAAATTGTAACGTTTCATCAGTAAAACAATAATTGCATGTAAACATGTTTAAATTTCCATAATTTAATCACGTATTCTTTAAATGATGGCATGTGACAGCACTTGGTGGGAAAATCACAGAAGTAGTACAATGGAAGTGACATCACTTCCTGGCATGTCACTTCCGAAACTAACATTTTTTTTGGATCATTTGAAATTTAAAGGCCCACTTTTCAGATTTTATTTGGACCAATCTAAAACTATGGAATACACCCCTTATGTATATATATATAAATTGCCGTGGTGCCATCGTTCGTCCATCGAATCATACCCAAAGCATAAACTCACCATATTTTGGCACTGCATGGGTTGAGCATGTAGTGGTCCATGTTTTCCATCAATATTGCCGAAGTGCTCTGGAAATACATCGCAAACACAACACAGGGCATCAGCTGTGTCTAATGTCACCATTATTCGTTATTGTTATACCAAACCGATCATGCCACAGGCAGAAGGGTTTTTAAGCATACAATTTCACATTTTTTAAAATTATACAAATCAGTCTTTGTTAAAGTGTAAGAGTTGACACATTTTCACATTGTACACGTAAAAACAAACTTCTGCGCACACTACCAGATATTACCTTTTTGCAATTTGAAACCAAATCCCAATACAGAGCAGAGGCTGTTACATGGCATGAAAATAGGTCATTCAACATCTACAAACAATTCCATTTTCGGAAAAAACTCCTTTTCAGTTTTCAATTTATGGGGTTAATTTCAGTGGACTTCTATAACGCAGGATACTTGTATTACAAAGCCGACTAATACATCATGCGCACCTTCATATCAGACATTTGGAAAACCGTTTACGTGGAGGGGTGGAATATTCACGGGACCAGCGTTAAGGCACTGCCCCAGCGACGCGTTAATGGATTTTGACTCACGCGCGCCAAAAATTCCTCATGTCCACCGAAGAACACAACCGTGGAGTAACTGGCAACAACATAAAATGAACGCGTGACTTTGAATCAAACAGACAGGCACGCCTTGCAAGCAAAACCTAAAGGAAGACTTGTCTGGCAAACCGCCTTGCGCTGATGCTGACAAATGAAGGCAACTGCGACTCGCCTGGGAAACTCGAGAGAGGGAGCTGAGAGGGGGTTGGGGGTGGTGGGGCACACTACCTTAGCCTCAGGGTTTGTCGCAAGAATTTTCGCTCCGCACTCCACAGACGCGTAGTTGTTGAGATTTTTCTGGGTCTTTCTCACTTGGTGGAGGCTGCTGTCAACGCTTTGTAAGGTGTGACCTGCAAATGCGCACAGCAGCACATTGGACAAGACAACGACTAGAATTAAGTTAAAACAAAAGCACGCTCGCTTCGGCTCATAGATTCAACGAGCGAAGTAGGGTGAGGATGAGCAAGACTTTAAAATAGCAACGTACATTTCACATTAGGTAGTCGTTTCTAAACTGCATACTTTTTTCTGTCCTTGCAAATTAAAAACGAAATAATGCTTGCGGGAAAAGGAGGGGAGGGGGAAACAGATAATTTCTCTGCTTGCTGCTTTGCGAGATGGCAGTGACATTTGATTTATTAATGATGTGTACAGTTTGCCTTTGAGGCAGAGTCGTCGAGAAAAATGACTATAAATTATTAAAAGCCAACACAGCTGGTAGTCAAACTGAAAATAGATGTAAACAATTTATAACTGGCACTGTTAAATAAGAGGTGCTTGTGAACTTTTGATTATCTTTCTGTAAAAGGGGACTCCATACTTAAAAAAAAAACTAAACTATTTTATTGACCACGTAAAGCCTGCTGAGTTTTTACTTTTTTTATCAGAGGTGACTTGGCCACACATGAAAGTTCATCTAAGTGGCTTATCACGTGCAGGTTTCTAGTAGCAAACAAAACAATCTAAGAACGTGTTTCTAAATGCGGGCGGCAAAGCCAGAGGACGCGGGGAAAAAATCCACGCGACCACTGGGAGAGAGAGAACACGCAAACTCCAAAGATACAGGCATCATCGGGGTCGGGATCGAACCCAAGAACGTCCTGCGTACTGGGTCATTCTGTTTGGCAAAGTGTAAATATGTGTGGGGAGTTTCAGTCATGTGTAAACATTCCCATGAGAGACCTTTATCCGGTAAAGGGCGAGGTCTCTTCAGCTAAATTGCGGTGGAAACAGAGAAAAATATACGGGCAAAGGGCAGTCATGTGCCACGTTGCCATTGTAAAACGGGAAAAAAAAACAAATGTAAATTTTGCAAGCACCGTCGTCTGCGATGTGGCCAGGTGGCACTGCAGTAGCAATCAGAATATTGTTTAAATCTCGGTCAAGGGTTATGCTTATTTCATCAAACCGGTATCAAACGTGTCCAGAACTATGGGAAGTCAACAGCACGTCCTACAGAGGAACCGTTCAATATTGGAAAGCACTTGAATTGTCAAAACACCTTAATGCAGGATTTTGTCCAAAACAAAAATACGAGACTCACAAAGGCATCCTAGATATATACAGGGAAGTTTAATTTTCACCAACGGCTGAGGGTTGCCAACATAGGAGAGTGCCATGCCACACTTGTTTTATAAGCGAGACACTGGATTTTTATATTACCATGTGGTCATTCTTTCACGTGGGGTTGTGGAAAAAAAACTTTTGTATTTTAAGTGGACAGATATATAAACAAGACATTATCTGCTTATCCAATTTGATACTTACATTCTTCTCAACGCTGCTATCGATTGTTTAGTGGTATGTACAAAACAATTATGCGTCGAACTAGGACCCATATTTTAAAGAGAAAATGCTTTCCGACATTAATTCGTGCAAGCCTGACTCTGCTGCTGAGACACTATGTGGAAACCAGTCCAGAGTTGGCTTGTCTTGCATCAATGCCACTGAAATGATTAACTCACAAAAGTCCATAGGGGGCCATGGGGTTGGTAAAAAACGAATTAGTGTAGTCCATCAAAACATGCCCTGCTATTGGAATGCATCTCGAGCTCATTCCATCGCCAACCTAGAATTATCAGCTCTGTTCCTACGTACGCAAAGTCCTTCGCTACGTCCAAAATTCTCGTGACCCACGGACCCCCCCCCCCTCCCCCGCCTACACGTTGATGTGTGATACGGGCACGAGGGCAGGGCAAGCGAGACACTTGCTTTGCTTCTCTTTCTCCTCCTCCATCACTTTCTTCTTCCACTCGTCGAAGGAGGGGATGTCTTCGTGGGGGCCGGGGTGCGTGTCCGCAGGGTCGCCGACGTGCTGGGTGGTGGCGGCGCTGCTGCCCTCGGTGGGGGTCGCTGGCTCTCCCTCCTCTGCTGCGGGAGCCACCTCTTTTTCGTCGCCCGCCGCTGTCTCCTCGCCGCCTTCGCTCTCTGCGTCCTTGGGGGCCAGCCGATCGTCTTTGAACGGAGGAGTGCTCGCGTCGGCACGGCGGGGCTCCTGCATTGAAAGATAGTCAGTCAATAGGACAGAGAGAGTCCCGTATTGAGAACCATCGAGCATATTTTGCAAGACAGACCTATGGCAAAAAGTGCCTCCACACTTAAAACAGCAATGTGGTAATGCTCAACTACTATGATATCTTGAATATTTGGTAAAAAAAAATCCAATACTTTATGGGATCTATAGGATAAGCCTCAATTCGTACAATCCACCAATCATCCTTTCAATGCGATTGATAGCTTACAGCAGTGTTCATCACTAATTTTCAGAGGGGGGGGGCGGGCACTTTCGCCGATAAGACATCAACAGTGTGAGGGCCGCCACACATTGAAAACCATTAGGTTTGACAGCATGATGGGGTGTTTTCGCATTTGTGTATTGTTGGGAGCCACACTAAAGCCCACCAGGGGCCGCTAGTTGCCCCCGGGCCTTGCATTGAAGAACACTGGCTCAGAGGCATGCACCACCAAGTCTGGATAATTTGAAACATTCAATATTAAAAAGGCAATTCACACAAGATACACATCTTCACCAAAATATCTAAACGCGTCACATTGGCGATTTGTTCCATGGTGGGTGATGGATACACCTTGCCGTGTTTTCACCAAAGGTTTAGATGAAAGGGAAAACTTCGGCCAAATTGAGAAGCATGCCCCCCCTCCCTTACCTCTTCAGCCTTCGTGCCATCAAGCTTGGCTTCAGGTGCCACCTCCAGCTGAACGGGCGCTGCCAGGGGCTTCTCTTCATGCGTGGCCAGAACTGGTGGCAGCTCCTTCTCCGGCCCCTCCACGTGGTCTGTTGGGTCCTCTGAGCGGGGTTTATCCTCGATCCGTGGGGCATCGGGGGGCAATTCAGTTTCCCCGCTGGAGCTGCCAAGAGACGACATCAATAGGCGACTGGCTGTGAGTTCTGGCAACACACAAGAGCTTCATACCCTGGCACAAAAACGAGTTAAGATCACCACCACCACCCACTATCATTCACCATCAGAGTTCATCATCATCTTTATTCTTTGGTTCTATTCGGTAAAGTCACATAGGTAAAAAATAAAACAAAAATCACGACGTTTCGGCCACAACACAAGCGGCCTTCATCAGGTGAAGGGACCAGGCTGTCTCGAGGACAGCGCTGGAGTGAAAAACAGCCACGCTCAGACCGCGACCTTTAAGCTGTGTGCGAGGAAACAAGGTGCCTTGACAAAGGAATTAGCATAAAAATTAGCATTTGATTGGCTGACTTAGCATGATGAACGGTGTAGAGGTGGTGTACATGCGGGTGCACATGCCGGTTGGCGCGGGGGGGAGGGGGAGTTTACCTATTGATGGTGTGAAAAGGGAATTTTTAAGAGCTGCAAAAGTTTGGGGTACCACTACTTGAAAAATATACTGTACCATTGAAAATTAGTTTAATGCTTGGTTAGATTTAGAACATCTTTCCAATGGTTGCTTAATTTGAAACCATCTTCTCGGTTGAAATTGTGTCTGTGTTTGTAGATCTGAATTGCCTCGTGAACAAATCTCTGATAAAAACCCGTGGGTTTGCAAAGAATCTTGGTATCGGAGAAAATTATATCGTGATCACCCACAGTATTGTAACAGTGATCAGCTACGGCAGAAGAATTCGTTCTGCCGTGTTTCAAATCTGATTTGTGCTCGCGAATTCGGTCAGAGACATGTCGCTTTGTCTCCCCGATATAGCAATCACCGCAGGTACAACTCAATTTGTAAACCCCGGGGTACTATGAATGACATCCTTCACGGATGGGATGGGATCAGATCACGAATTTTTTGTACTGTATTGAACCGGACCTGGATCTTTTGTTTGTTTAGAATTTTGGAAATCTTTTTAGTAACGCCTGCTATATATGGTAGTGATGAAGGCCGCTTGTGTTGTGGCCAAAACATCGTGATTTTTGTTGTTTTATTTTTTACCTACGTGACTTTATCGAATAGAACCAAAGAGTATGGATCCTTGCAGTCACGAAAGCTTTAAATCTAGAATCATCTTTATTACTCATGTTTTGTAGATCACAATAGAGACAGAGACACAACTTTCAGCTTTATGAACTTTGCTGGGCAAGTAGAGTTTGCGAGCGCATATTTAGGATGGTGCAACACACAAGAGGATGACGTGGTTAACACAATTTCTTTTTCCCCACCCTTGTCTCCCAATAGTTGCAACTGGAATACAAACCTGTGCGAGGTATCCACGATGTGCGAACATTAGCAATGGGGAAAGAAAGGTGGCCACATCACCTCTTCATGCGCTGTGCTGGCTTCAAGAGATGAGCGCTAATGGCTATTCTATCAATTATCTATTTTTATTTTACCAGATAAGGCCCACTGAGCTATGTAGCTTTTTTTTCAGACGTCGACCTGGCCACAAATGATAGCTCAACGAAGTAGCTTATCACGTGGAAATATATACCAGCCAGATACTCTAAATGCATGTGGAGTGAAAAACCAGAGGATCCATATAAAAATACACACGACCACGAGGAGAGACACACACAAACTCCAAATATACAGGCGTCTGGGTGTGCAGCGAACCCACATCCTCCTAAATACCTGACGAGGCAGTTAACATCTCGCCAACGTGGCACCAACAATTACACTGGCCCCACGAGTATCATATCTCGTATCTTACCTATAAATGTAATTTTTGTCTGTCTGTGTGTGTGTGGCCGAAACTTGCAAAGGAATTGGCTCGCAAACCGTGGGGTTTACGTTAAAAAAGAAGTATCCAGGTACCACGCCATAAGCCCAGTGCTGAGCCAGCACTATTCCGATTTCGCGTCCGTCACCTGTAAAGTAGTTTAATTAGCGATTTAGTGCTGTTTTAGGTTATTTATGAGCTCGCGCCTCACAGCGCGCGCCAAAGCATCCGTCTGCGCATGCTCGCCCCTACCAAGTCACACGCGTTCGGTGGGGGGGAATTCTCATTCGTGTGAACAGCGTACAAGGTAAGACACAGATTTACAGCTCCCTTAAAACATTTATTACCATTACTGTTCACTCATTGCTATTACTGCTATTTAATATTAAATTATTTAGAGTTGCATTGTTTATTTATTGATTACACGTGTAGTACTGTAGTGACTGTGATTGTCACTGTGTGGTGCCGGGCTTACGAAGCCATGGCGGATAATGTGCTGACATTATGTGTAGCCCGCTTACGGGGCAGAGTACCACCAGCCCTAGTGGGGCTTGGGTGAGCGCCGGTCAGCGCGGAGGCACCGCGAGCAGTGTGCGGTGCGGGCTCCCAGTGAGGGAGCGAGAGGGAGCGTCAGGCAGCCAGGGTTACGTTGGGGCATGATACGCTGGTTGACCTGCTGACACGTGACCGGATGATATTGGAGGGGGACCACCGGTGGATGGGGGCCGCTGGGCGGTCACGTGGTCTAAAAGAGCTCTCGGGAGCCTTCGAGAAAGAGCTCGAGAGATCTGGAAGGTGGGCGGGGCGAAGGGCGGAGCCAGCCCCAGCCCAGGGGGGTATAACAGGGGTGCCGTGAGGAGCTCGGGGTTCTTCGTGTGCTGGTGTTCGAAGATCCACGTCAGGAAGAAGAAGCCTCTAGCCACGCGGTCCGGGACCCAGCTTGTGGTCTGGGCCGGGATAGCGAACCGTGTCTAGTTCTGCCGTAGCGAGTGTAGATTGTGTGATGTTGTGTTAAAGTTACGTAATAAATAGTGTTGCTCCTAAGATAACGTCTGCGACTCAGTTGGACTCACTACACACGCACCGCTCGGCGCACGCCAAAGCACACATATGCGCATGCTGGACCCTACCAACTCACACGTGTTTGGAGGGGGGGAGGGGAAAATTCTCATTCGTGTGGACACAAGGTCACACACACACATTTTCAGCTCCCTTCAAACATTGTGTGTGTCAGTCACTATGTGTGTGCGTGTGTAAGTCGATGTGTGTGTGTAAGTCGACGTGCGTGTGTAAGTCTATTTATGTGTGTGTAAGTCGATGTGTGTGTTTTTTCCATTTGTGAGTGAGTCGATGTACAAGTGTTTGAGTCGATGTGTGTGTCTAAGTCCATGTGTGTGTGGGTCGATGTGTGTGTAAGTCCATTAGTATGTGTATATAAGTCCATGTGTGTAGGTCGATGTGTGCGAGTCGATGTGTGAGTCCACGTGTGTGTGTAAGTCCGTGTGTGGGGAGCTATAGTGTAGCGGTTAGCGCGCTGCGCTATGAACCTGGCGACCCGGGTTCGATTCCCGCTCACGGCCAACACCAGTGACGATTATCTGAACCGGTCCCGGGCCTCCCCTAGGTCGACTCAGCCTCAAATGAGTACCTGGTGCGGTGTGTAAACATCGCCACTAGGGAGACAAAGGCGGTCGGGCGTGGTGCTGGCCACCCACCCCCTCGTGTACCGTTCCGGCCTTCATAGGTGCTCGCTAACAGCACTTGCCCCTACAGTCTGTTAAGGCCATATGGGGGATCTTTGTCTTTGTAAGTCCGTGTGTGTCTGCAACTCGATGTGTGTGTGTATATGAGTCGATGTGTGTGTTTGAGTCCATATGTGTCTGTGTGTGTGTAAGTCGATGTGTTTGGGTGTGTGGGTCGATGTGTGTGTGTGTCTTTTTCGCCCGGGCAACGCCGGATACTTCCTGCTAGTAAAATATATGCCTGGTGAGCCCATGCAGGTGAATGCAAAAGCTGCCCTGTTGTCCTGTCCAGTATTGTAAGGCTGTGTCAAAGTAAAAAATGTAGGGCTTTGGGTCTAGTTTAAATCCATTAATACGAAACTGAGCCAAGTTAAAAATGAAACGCCAAACAAAGTCTGCTTACTAATAAGAGTCTAAGCCACAGTTGGGATCTGAGTTATGTTTTACAGTGCTGTTCCTGGTGGCACACTTTGAGTTTGCTCATTGATTGGGGGTAAAAACAGGAATATGCGTTCAGATTAGTTTTTTTACGTAAAGGCGGAAATTTCCTGACATTTCAGATTTTTTTAGCTCAGGCTAACAAATGCGAAAAACTTAGATCATTAAATGGGGCATTGTTATAAAACGCCTGGTACCACTTTGCAAAGTCTGAGAGAATGTTTATTCAGCTGAGTGTGGAAAACGTCCAATGGCAAATGCAGCCTTTATCATTTAAATTAACTCAACTGTATCCACAGGAACGCAGAGCAATTATTTATAAGGCTGGATTCATGTTTAATTTCTCTTGTGGGTAAAAGGTTTCTTTCCAATACATGCAGCAGTGTTCAGTTTTCTTTCTCCTGCATGTGAAGTTATTTGCCTATTTATAGTACTGTACAGTACTTGCAAATGCTGCTTCAAGACGCGTCTGCGTGAAATGTATGTAGAACTTATTTTTGGCACCGTACATAGCCAGCCGTGCTAATAATGTCAACTCGTGTTAAGATCCTTGCATATACACCACAACAAGAAATGGACATTGCTTGCAGGTGTTGCAATATGTAACAATCTTCATGACACATAGCCACTACCACTACCGATAATACATACTCTCAGAAGCAACATCTTTACATTGTAATCCCTTAAAAGTTGAAAAAAGTAATGATAATTTATCACGCTGGTCCTGAGTTAGTAGTCAAAATTATGCATTGCTGACAGTGACCACTTTAATATGTTTTACTTCTGATAAAGAGATGAGGCTCATTTTAATTACATCGGGGAGGTAATTATGTTCGGCCTTTGTATATATCTTGGCTGGGATTTCAACTCATACTCTCAATAATAGAAGGGCTGCTTGTCTGTCAATTGCGCTCAATTACACCCGTTAAACGTCCTCAGTATTTCCTGTAAATGTATTTTGCAATTGGACATTATTTATCTTTAAAGCTTAGTTGAATTTAATTAATTCACACTGTACACTATACAGCATCAACAGGTTCCAGCAAGCCATTATATCCTGCATTCTTAAGATAGGATTGACAATATTTGCATGCTGTGTAAAAAAATGAAATGTTATTTTTTATAGCATTTCTCAACAAGCCAGAAGTTTCTTTGCAAACGAACAGGAAGTGACACTGGGGGCTGCTTTGCATAATGTGTCGACAACTTGAACGTGCGCATGATGCCAAAAGAGAGTGGGGAGCTTCGTGGTTCGTGCTTTTAGAAACAGTAGAGTGAGACACACTTATGTATACGTACGTAGCCAACCAGGCTAATCGGAGTTGCGGGGGTGATGAGGACAATAAACTAAACACAAAAAGCAGTGGTAAAGAAATGCGTTTTTAATGTAGATTATTAAAATGTGCGTAGCTCCAGTGGCTTTCCAATATCGGAAGGAAGAGCATTCCAGAAGGCTGCAGAAGGCGTTCCAGACGGCCACAGAACTGAAAGGAAGTGTTTTTTGCTTCTGAATCTGTTTAAAAAAATTTAGTTGTCTAATACTCATTTACCGTTGTTTACTTATTTATCTTTATGAGGCCATCGTAGGTGTATTTACTTTAAATTACTTAATTAGGTGACAAGGTACAAAGATATATAGACAACATATGTGTGAACATATTTTTACACAATCACTGGACTGTGATGGAAGCAGGTGTGCATAAGAGTGGTTCACTCTGCGTCAATCTACCAAATGAGCTCTTGGGAGACAGATAGGAATACAATAAGAGGAAAATATCTATGGGACCCTTTTTGCCGGTATCAATACGATGAAAAAACAATAGGCTTTACCCTTTCCGGCAATAATACACAGGTGTTAAGATGTTTAAACACCAAATAGACACCCTTTGAAGGGCATCCAGTCTGCATTAACCACGACAACCTGTGGTAAAACGTGCAAAGAAACGTGCGTTGATAATGTTTGCTTCGTCCTTGTGATGTTTACCTTTTGGCAGTTCTGCGATCTAACGCTGGTGAGACAAGGCCATAAAGGAGGTGGTCTCTGGTGTAGGCCAATCAGTTCCAAGGACAATCCGAACATAATCAAACCATGTTTTTTGCAGGTTTTATCACAAGCTTGTGTCTTTAATGCAGACTTGATGCCTTGCAATAGGCATCAATTTGGTGCTTGAACATCAAACACCAGTATTATTGTCGGAAAGGGTAAAAAAAAGCCTCGTCTTTTTCCATCATTAAGAGAACAATGTTTTTTTTAGAGTCATTGGTGAGTCTTTATGCACAGGGCAACCTGGTTAATCACAGGTAGAGACCAAGAACTTGACTTCCAAGAAAGTGGTTGTCAGTTTAACACGTAGGCTTTCGCAACTACTATTGTCCATAACAATCGTTTTTGGGGTTAGGTCGCGTAAATATGAATGTGTCGTTAAACTCACCGATTAGTAAGGTTTGTCACGTGAACAACACGTGCCCATTAGTTACTACCTCACACCGGTGTGTTTGGAGAGTAAACCCACAACATTTACAATTAGAGTACGACCTTCTGCTGGTGATTACAACCAGCTTCATCAGGCGATCAAGCCAGATTCGTGAATAAATACTCCTGTTTCGACTGTCATTTTATTTGCCCGAGTCGATTGTTGACCAGAATTTGAACTCACAACCCCTTCCAACTCTAAGTTGAGCGCTCAGAGCCCAGTGTCATGCTGCATCACACAGAGGGCAGGTGGCCGTCAGGACACAATCTGAGGCGTTCAAGCGTGCCGGCTCGGTGCAATGACTAAGGGGTCGCCACAGTATAATTTTCTCACGATACAAGACGATATCAAGTTTCGTGATGAGACAATATTATCGTGACATCAGTTGCTCTACTTTAAATGCGAATTAATTTAACTAAAAAGTTATTCGACTGCAGTGCACACAGAATAAATTATAATCCTACCATAAGTCTTCTAATGATTGCAATTTGTCACGCTCATAATGTCGACGCTCCCAGTTACACCATAAATAATTAGATCATGAAAATAATTGTGAAAGATACGAATTCGGAAAATCGCCAATAAATCTGGAAATCATTTTGCAAAGTCATAGTTGAATGCAAAACATATATGTATTTAACAACTAATTACTGACTGTTAAGAATATATATTTTGTCAGGATATAATATATCTTACATATGACCGCACCTCGTAAAGCACATTAGTATCGCGGCATTATATTATTTCAATTCTTCTTTTTAATAAGAACATGTTCTTTGTCTCTTAACTGTTATCATTCAACATGTTATTGTTAATTTCAATGTTAGGTTAGAAACACTTATGCCAGTGCCCTCCAGTTACCTGGGTGAAATGTACGCCTGTCTGTATGTTTAACTTTTTTCGCACCGCACGTAGTCAACCGTGCTCATCGGAGGTGCGGGGGGAGGACAACATACTAAACACAAAAAGCAGTGCTAAAGAAATGAATTTTCAGTCGAGATTTAAAAGTGCATAGCTCCCAGTGGCTTCCTAATATCGGAAGAGTGTTCCAGACGGCCGCAGAAGCACATCTGAAAGCGCACAATGCGGTGATGGTATTTGTTCGATGGGCAGCATAAAGCCTCTGCGAGGATGACCGGAGTTTGCGTGATGGTTTATGCACCTTGAGATCAGAAAGGTAATATGCTTAATTTGTGGCAAGCACTTTGTGTCACGAGTACGATCCTATAATGCATTCGTTCGGCAACTGGAAGCCAATACAGCTCGACGAGCACTGGCGGCACGTGGTCAGATCTTGCGGTACCCGTCAGGACACGTGCCAGATGATTTTTTTAATGCTCCAGCTTGGTGTTATTTTTGCCAGACGTCGCGTAGAGAGAGAACCCCCTCGGCCACCCGGTCACGTCCACATCTACAACGCACAAACACGGGCGCCGCGTGTTCACAGCAGAGACGGTACCTGTCGAAAATCTTGGGAGGGATGGGTGGCGATGGGGGCACGACCTCCGGGCTGCCCTCCTCCCCTGCACCCTTGCACTCGGCAGTGGATTGTTGAGTGGCCGCCGAGTCTCCATATCCCAGGGTGCTCGCCATCCCAAGCTTCTCTATTGCACTAGAAAAGACACAGAGATCCCACATTTAGCTTTATAGATCGTAGGGGCAAGTGACATTAGCGGGCACCACCACCCCACCACCCCAACCCCCCCACCACCCGCTGATACTCACACATCGTATCAGGTACTTACTTAAGGTTAAAGGGGCATAGGCCTAAGACAGGTCCGAAATGAACCCAGTTCACCAGGATTATACTGCAGGTGATGTAACCAATATCATGCCCAGCCTCCTCTATACTGCCAATGCTGATGTTTTTGCACGCTACATCAAATAAAGTCAACCTAGGGGAAAGCCCAGGACCGATTCAGGTATCGCTGGCTATTGAAATTTGTTGCTATGAAGAAGGGCCATTGCACAAAACGTCGCCTATTATTTACTATTCTCTTTAAAGGACAGAGTTATTGGCGGATGTGCAAAGTTTTGTACTTATTTATTTGTTTGTTTTTATGCGACAATGGACATCTGGGTACCTGTCTTCTGTAGGGGGTGGGGATGACGTAGGATGGACAGACACTGGCTCGGACTGGCCATCTTCCGAGGTGTGTTGCAAATTGTCGCCCGAGACCAGAGTCTCTGACGCGTTGGATTCACTGTGCATTGCACCATCATACGATGACTTCTGTGACTCCTGATGGGCACACACAAAAATGGTAAAACCGTTGCAATGACCCAAAATTACAATCTGTTATTATTGTAAAGTGTGACACTTTTAAGTGTGAAAAAAGATACGTTATTTTTTTTAACAAGAAAGCATGTCAGCAATATTTGTTAAACATCTATGGCTTTCAATGTGTCCATAAACTCTGACGAATATCAAAATGCTTTTTTATGGTATCTCTAAATCGTGACAATTAAACTAAATTATTCATCTATTTTGTGATTTTACCAGGTAAGGCCCACTGACCTATATAGCTCTTTTTCAGATGCGACCTCGCTATCAAAAATGATAGCCCATCGAAGTGGCTTATCGCGTGGGAATTTATAGCAGCCAAATACTCTTAAATGTATATTTCTAAATGTGGAGGGAAAAACCAGAGGATCCAGAAAAAAATATCTATATGACTACAGGGAGAAAATGGAAACGCCAAATATACAGGTGTGAGGGTTGGGATCGAAGCCATGACCTCCTGTATATCAGGCGAGGTAGTTAACATCTGCTTATAATCGAAATGATGAAAGTAATTATACACAGGGGCATAACACATTTTGGGACCTAAGTGGTTCTCCAGGATACCATAGTATCTTCTTCTCTGCAGCACACCAGCTTATGGTCAGCAAATTATCAATGCAGTAAAGCATATTTTCAAGTCAAGTCTATATTTTGACGTGGAATCTTTCGAGGAAAATGGCAAGTGCAGAACGGCATTAATCATTTACTGCAAAACATATTTTGAGTGTTCATATGAACTGCACCTTTTATGAGACATTCTTGGTCTTTTATACGGGTGGGGTTGTTGTGTAACGTTGTTGTTGTTGGACAGGTGCATGCGGTGATTTGTGCTCTTTAAGATTAACACCAGGTGTGTAAGTATTTATGCATTGGAATTGCCGTCCAGTAGCAATGACCAGAGAACGCGACTTTGACAACGCATTGCTTTTACACAGTCGACGTGTGTATGTACGCACTGTCATCTCAATTACAAACACATTTATTCGGCCAGTTACATAGGCGAGGGCAGCTTCATGTGGCAAATGCGAGTGTGACACTGACACACTCAGCGAATGCAAGCGTGACGTTGAAACGCAGCTTAAATTAAACGCACAACTCTCACCTGATTTTCATCCTCATCATGGATAAACACTTGAGCTTCACCAGTATAAGGATTATTCACATTCTTGTTATCCAAACGTGCATTCATTTGCAAGTCCGGCTTTGTGTTCAAAGGCCCTCCCATGGGCACCTAAGGAATGCATTTTTCATGATAATAGCATGAGAAAAGCACGAGCACATTAATTCCACTTCAATTACTGGACAATGAGCGCGTGGGCACGTAACACCGCTGGGAAATTGTGCTCATGTCCAGGTGCCAAACCCGGTATCATCTAATATCGTTGATTAGGAGGTGATGTGCTGTGACTGCACAACACAGATCACTGCCGCGAAGGTTATTTTATTCAGGAAGATATATGGTGGCCTTCAGCCAAAGATAAGTGCTTAAGGCCACAAATGGGTAATTCATCTCAGCCACACATTCACCTGCCTTTGATGTGCTGGAACTACCAGTCTGGGCAGTTGGACGGGTAAGCTGGATGTGTTAATTTATTGGAATCCACTTAATCTCTTTATAACCTTCAAAGCAATTGACTCAATTAGAATTGTAAATACCCATCTCCAGACCAGCGTCAATAAATGAGTACCACTTAGTGGGGCAGTTAACAGTGCTCATCAAATACGCAATCAAGTACAGTGGCCACTGCTGGCTTAGAAGCGCCAACATAGTCATGAGAACGGTTATCCATTTAAGTCGGTAGACACTTTGAATTTCGACCTTAGAAAATATTTTCTGAAAGCAGTGGGAAGCTAAACTAAACTAAAAATATTCTTGGCTCTTTCGGTAAAGTCACGGAGAAGGGAAACAATAAAATAATAAGAATATAAAACAATAAAATTATCACGACGTTTCGACTGCAACACAAGCAATCATCATCAGGTGTGAAAACAACAACAAGAAAATTTTAAAAAAGTGGCGGTTTTTTTAACGTTAGCACCACGGAGAGCGATTTGGCAGTTATTCAGGTGGACGAGTCCATCTATGTTCGGAAAAGAGGAATATGAATCCCTGCAGTCACGAAAGCTTTAAATCAAAATTTAAACTAAAAATGTAACTATTTTTTTTTATTTTATCAGGTAAGGTCCACTGAGCTACATTTTTTAGAAGCGACCTGGCCACAAATGATAGCACAATAGAGTGGCTTACCATGTGGAAATGTATAGCAGCTAAATACTCTAAATGCGTGTTTCTAAATGTGGAGGGGAAAAACTGGAGGACCCGGATCGAACCCACGACCTCCTGCATACCAGGCGAGGGAGTTAACATCTCCTAGCCACCGTGGCGTCACATTCGAGGCCAAGTTAGCGTGACTGAGGACCCCACTTGCAAAACTGTGAGCCCACGTGTGATTGCTCAAAATGTTGGCCCCCCCTCGGCAGGCCGAAACCAAACCCGCATCGCGGGGAGCGCAAGCGAGTCAGGCACAAGGCCATGGGTGGCGCCACGCCATGGGTGGCGCCACGCCACCCCCCGCCCCGCAAATTCACGGCAAACACGAGGAGCTCGAAATTCGCATATGAAACACGCGGGTTTCAAAATGGACCTATTAATAGGTGACATGAAGCAAGAGATGAATTACAATGCATTCCCGTCATTCATCTATCCATCTTGGTGCCGCTGAGGCTACAAATAGAAGGTTTTGTTTTCAAATATAAAACCCAGTCAGGGGTAAACAAAGTGAGCTGGTAAAAAAAATTGTACATTCTTAGGGACACCATTGGAGATGAGTGCTGCCTCATTCTCTAATGAAGATGCAGACAGGTTGCCTTTCTTCTACTGTAAGGCAGTGCAATGCTGAAGACAGTGGTAGTATTGTATCAGTTTTGTGCTTGTTCACCGCGGTAACACGACTCAAAATCAAAATGAACAGATTGGTTCCGTATCATGGGACCTTTTGCCAGTATCAAATTATGAAATTGATTGGCCTACACCAGAGACAGCCTTCTTCCATAGGCCAATCAGTTTCAAAGACAATGCATATATTACCAGAGGATGTTTTGTTTGTATGTCCACCACAAGTACGTGTGGTTAATGCAGACTTCATTCCTTGCAAAATGTATCTATTTGGTGTTTGAACATCTTAACACCTGTTTTATTGCCAGAAAGGTTAAAACATATTCTTATGTTTCATAGATCGGTTCTGCTTTATCTGTTATTAAAGTAACATCGATCCATGGCAGAGCGACAGTTTATATATAAATAGAAAACCAGCGATCTGCCTCCCAAATCCCATCTAACCACCATTAGATCAAGCACAGCCATGACGAATCTGGAGTGCCGCCTCCCATAGTGCACTGCAAGTCATAACGGAATTGCATTTAAGGTCTTACTGCATTCATGTCACGAGGTGGTGGGGGGGAGCACTATTAAGGGGTGCTCCTTAAATTAACTTTAAAGATCTTGACTTAAAGCTTTCGTGACTGCAGGAACATCAATCCATGGCAGCAATTCATATTCTTTGGGTCTTTCGGTAAAGTCACGTAGATAGGCGACTTCACCGAAAGACCCAAAAAATATAACTTTAAAGACCTCATAATAAAAATTCTCAGAGAATTTTTTATTGTTTTATATATTTTTTATTATTTTATTGTTTCCCTTCAACGTGACTTTACCGAAAGAGCTAAGAATATGAATTACTGCAGTCACGAAAGCTTTAAATCAAAATTTAAAGACCTCATTAAAAAAGACAAGTCGTCCTTATCTAGTATACGGACGCCTAGGCTGTGTACCCCCTAGCTGTCTGGCAAGTTTTAAGCTCCATTAATGAAATGTTTAATTAATGTGCGGGCAAGGCGAGCCGTCAGTGCCCTCTATTGAGGTTACTGCACTGATGTAGTACAACGTATGTAGGAGTGACGTCACGGCGCTATCACTCGAGTGTTATCAAACCCTAACCCCTGTATTTAACTTTAAAGTATTTTTTGCTGAGGGCAAATCTTAACCTGTTCGGACAGAATGGCACACACAGCTAAAGTATGCATCTACAATAGAAGAGGTATGTATTCATGTCCACGTCTTCCTTCGCGCGAGCACGGCTTTGTGTTCCTCAATTACCTGCTCCTCGGCCTCTGGCACTGTGTCACCATCACCCAAGTGTGGCCCGCTGCCTCCAAGCGCCGGCCCCGTGTCTTCATCCAGTCCAGGGCAGCACCTGCTGGAACAGCGGCAGCAGCAGGTTGCGCTCATTACACACAAAGTGCTTGCCACAAAATGAACCACAATGCCTTGCGGATCTCGTCAAGGAGCATAAATCATCACGCCAACTCCAGTCATCCTCGCAGAAGCTGGTTTTGGCTGGCCATAAAACAAAGACGGTCACCGCATCCGCATGCTTACAGATGCACTTCTGCGGCTATCTGGAATGCTCTCCCTTCTGATAATAGGAGGGCACTGGAGCTATGCAATTGTAAATCATCCAGATTGAAAATTCATTTCTTAAGAACTACGTTTGTTGTTTAGTTTGTTGTCCTTCTCCACACCTCAGATTAGCACGGTTGGCTAGGCACGGTGCAAAAGAAGTTCAACATACATACAGTAACAGCAGAGGGGGCATGAGCGACGCATTAATTCACGCAACACTACCGCCGCCATCGCTAGCCCACGTTGGAATGCAGCTCCCAACTCAAACAAGCAAGGTCATGGCATTCACTTCCACTGGTGGACCTGAGCCTGTGGTGTAACATTCACATTCCTATCGCAGAAGCCAGTGTCTTCATGAGATTACCATTATATTCTTGGTTCTTTTGGTAAAGTCACGTAGAAGGGAAACAATAAAAAAATATATAAAACAATAAAATTATCACGACGTTTCGACTGCAACACAAGCAATCATCATCAGGTGTGAAAACCACAGCAAGAAAATTTGAAAAAAGTGGCCGTTTTTTTAACGTTAGCACCACGGAGAGCGATTTGGAGTCGCGGCATCTCTTCAGAAAGGTGAGAGACTCGATCAGCTGAGCCTTCTTATCCCGGAGTTTGTTGAAGGATCTCAAAGCTATGTGGAAACCCTCCCCGTAGAGGCGGTTAAATTTTGATTTAAAGCTTTCGTGACTTTACCGAAAGAACCAAGAATATGAATCCCTGCAGTCACGAAAGCTTTAAATCGAGATTACCATTGTTGGCTTACTGCAATCTGAAGCTCATTTGATTCAACCGCGAGGGATTAAAGGCAAAATGTAATCCGCATATGACATTAAAGGGAGTTGCAAATATCACTTACATTTTTCTAGAACAGACATGGGCAAAGTACGGCCCCCGGGCCGTACACTGCCCGTTGGGCTTTTTAATCCGGCCCGCCGAACTTGTCCAAATATTATTATTATTAAATTAAATTTTACCTTTTTCCTGTAATGCCCCCATTTCCCCATTAGATGGCGCACTTTGACCGGGAGTGTGGTGTATAGGGCTCGAAAGGGCACATGATCTCGCAATGCATTGTGGGCCGTCAGCGCCATTTGCAGGGTTTGTTTATATTTCTGAGTTAGATACGGTGCTCCCTTCACTTTTTCGCTTTGCCCTGTGAGCCCTTCAGTAAAATGAGCGGATCAAGGAAACGAAAAGTGGACAATGAGTGACGAGTGTTTAACACGGAGTGGACAACAAAATACTTTTTCACTGAAGTCCAATCGAAGGCTGTATGCCTGATATGCCGAGAAACTGTCGCAGTTTTCAAGGAGTACAACATCAGCCGTCACTTTGCTACGAAGCATGCTAACTACGCTAGCAAGCAGTTAACGCAAGAACGGGCGGCTACGGCTCAGAGGTTGGCGGCTAATTTACAGACTCAGCAACATTTTTCTCACCGACAAACTGCGATTCAAGAGTCAACTACCAAGTTTTTTGGTGCCATTCGAAATAGCAAAGGCTAGCAAGCCTTTATCCAAAGGCGAGTTTGTAAAAGAATGCATGGAACAGACAGCAGACATCTTGTGTCCGGAGATCAAAAGCAAATTTGAAAACGTCAGTTTATCACGCAGGACTGTGACTCGCCGTGTGGAAATGATTGATGAAAATATAGCCAGCTAATTAAACAAAACGTCTGATTCCTTTGAGTTATATTCACTAGCACTGGATGAAAGTACGGACATAAAAGACACTGCTCAGCTCCTCATTTTTATCCGAGGCATTGACGACAGTTTTGCGATAACAGAGGAGTTTTTGACCATGGAGTCGCTGAAAGGAACAACGCGGGGAGAGGACTTGTATAACCAGGTGTCTGCTGTCATCGAAAGAATGAAGCTACCTTGGAGTAAACATGTCAATGTCACAACGGATCGATCGCCAAATTTAACTGGAAAAAATGTTGGGCTGCTGAAAAGAATCCAGAATAAAGTGAAAGAGGAAAACCCTGACCAGGATCTTATTTTCCTTCACTGCATCATCCATCAGGAATCCCTGTGTAAGTCTGTATTGCAGCTTAATCATGTCGTGAATCCAGCCGTAAAACTTGTTAACTTTATACGAGCAAGGGGACTTCAGCACCGTCAGTTTATTACGTTCCTGGAGGAAACTGATGCGGATCATCAGGACTTGCTGCACCACTCTCGTATCTGCTGGTTAAATTTGGGGAAAGTGTTACAATAAGTGTGGGAGCTGATAGAGAACATCATCACATTTTTGGAGTTGATGGGGAAATCTGACGAATTCCCTGAGCTAAGCGACAAGAACTGGCTTAGTGACTTTGCGTTTGCTGTGGACATTTTCACACATGAATGAGCTGAATGTGAAACTGCAGGGGAAAGATCAGTTTGTTCACGACATGTACAAACATGTGAAAGCTTTCAAATCCAAGCTCACTTTGTTCTCCAGACAAATTGCGAACAAATCTTTCGCTCATTTCCCCACACTTGCCATGCAGGAAGAGGCACCGCGAAACGCAAAAAAATACAGCAAATCACTTGAGGACCTGCACGGAGAATTCTGCCGTAGGTTCTCTGATTTCGAAAACATTGAACAGTCACTTCAGCTGGTGTCCTGTCCCCTGTCACAAGACTCTGAAACAGCACCACAGGAGCTGCAGTTGGAACTGATAGATCTTCAGTCTGACTCCGTCCTAAAGGAGTTCAACTCTGTAAAACTGAATGACTTTTATGCTTCACTTAACAGAGCCACGTTTCCAAACCTCCGGAGGACTGCACAGAAGATGCTGACTGTGTTTGGCTCGACTTATGTGTGTGAGCAGACATTCAGTGTCATGAACGCCAACAAAGCCCGTCACAGATCAAAGTTAACGGATCAGCACCTCAGATCTATCCTGAGAATTGCCACACCCAAAATAACTCTGGACTTGGATGCACTGACAAAAATGGGAGATCAACAACACTGTTCCCACTGAAACTGATGATGTGTTGCTGCAGCGAGGTTGGAGCCAAATCTCCGACAAACAGCCTGCATGGCTGCTCTAACCTGTTAATGTAGACAATAAAGAAGTTCATGTGAGGTAATTGGTTTGGGCGCAGGCAACAGATGTTTTCATGATGTTTGATCAGTCACGTTACGACATGTTTTTGTATTGTTCATGTTCGTGCAATTTGTTAAACTGCCTTGCAAATAAATGCTTTGCTACCTGTTAAAGGCCAAATCCTTTCATGTAATGATTTTTACACGTCATTTATATTAGTTCACACAAACACTCCATCCATCTGTTCCTGGCCCGACCCCTCCATCAAATTTTAGAACCCATTGTGGCCCGCGAGTCAAAAAATGTGCCCACCCCTGTTCTGGAAGATACATTCCTGACTGTCTAACTGAAGTATGAAGTTACAATCAAATGCACAATTATGGCACGTCAATCATGCCAGGGTGACGTAATTTAAAAAAAAAAACACGCCACTGCAGTAACATCAGTGCTATAACAGGAGGCCTGAGCATACATTTAAAAAGTCTTCCCGCTCCCCCCCATTAATAAACAGGCTCCTGCTGGACAACCTAGGATATACAGAATAGGTGCCTATCTACAAGATAACATCAATTTGGGTTTTGCATCTCTTCTTTGGTTGGCAGTCGACAGTGATTGTCCTATACAGTGACACAGGAATGTGGAATTTATGCCAATGGCTCCAGGCTGTTAATGGACTTCAGAGCCATGCCAGCGTTGTATGAGTGGGGGGGGGGGTCTATGTGACCAATTTATTAGCTGTGGGTGCTTGTTTGCTCTGTCATCTTCACTCGAGTGCATGTGGCACAGCCGCCGCGACGCCGCGTCCGTTGCCATGTCATGCTAATTTGCTGGCTGCAGCCAAGCGGAAGTTTTGAAAGCTGGCGGGCAAAGTGGCCCCCCCCACCCGCCGCCGCCGCCCCCCTTCTGGAGCGTTTTTTTGTTGCGTCAATTGCTCCCGAAAATAGCGGCGACGAGTCGGCGAGGAGCGACACGTGTAGCGATGCATGACCGCCCCCTCTGCCTTAATCGGATCACGTCGCCCGTCATACCCTCTCAATTCCCCTCCCTCGACCTCCCCACACACGAACCTTTCAGCTTTGGCCAAGCCTGTGTTTTTGAAGAGTTCATTGGCTCTGAGCGCTCGGGACGGAATCATCGAGTGACCTTTGACAAATGTACCGCGGCATTCATTTTATTGACCCTGGACGAATGAAATGCCGTCATCCACAAAACCAGGATTCAGACACGTACCCTTTAAATGCAGTTACACTACATGAAAACACATCCCATGTTTAAAGATCCCACTTGCATTATATATACGGTATTATATAAAAAAAGCGCATTCTATAAATGCACTCAATTTGGTAATTGTGGAATTAATGAGATTTTGTAAATGAAACTAATATATACCGTGGCACTCCCACTCCTGAATTATAAACATATTTTAAGGACACACCGAGTAAAAAAAAAATTCTACGAGCACATTGCCACGGCACTGAATACAGGGCCCAACAGTGCTCGTCTGGCAGGTGATGATACAACCTGCGTCATCTTTCCACAAGGGTCGGCCTTTTTTGTTTCATTCCTCGCCAGCTCCGAATATCACCTTGCCCCGGGGCCTACACCAGAGACACGCTGCACCCCCTTCAAGGCCTCTATGATCCAGAGAATGCAGATCTCCTCTGGGGTCCCAGGTCATATGGGGGGGGGGGGGGGGGGGCTTCGGTCGATGGGCAAACCGAGTTTTTTTCAGTGTAGCCCCCAGACTCTGGAACCCTCTTCCACGAGATCTCAGGATCTCCACGAGTCTGCGGACATTTTTAAGACGCGTCTTAAAATGTATTAATACCCTTTCGTTTTTCCAACTATTTGTTAATTAAGAATATGACCTTTAGAATTTGTTTACATTTCAAGAGTTATTTTATGCCGTGCGTATTGCTGCTGTGTCTCGTGCAGTGCTTTGATCAGGATTAGTATTGTTACGTGGCGCACTGAACAATGAGAGGTAAAACAGTAAAATTACGGCAGGGCAGGCTACTGACAGACACCCAGACCTTTAACATTCACAGGTTTCAAATGACTGCACCTTCATAAATAACATGCAAATGCAGCATGTTATAATACTACTGTTTGGCATGGGGTTTGTAGGTCAGCGGCGACACGCCTTCTGTGGACTCATAAGGTCCGAAAATGTTATCAGGATCAGCAGATTCTCCATTGAGCTCGCACACGCCCACCGCCCCCACCCAATTATTTCTGCATGGAATTACCAAAGTGTGACATCTGTTGCAAAATGAACAAAAAAATACCCCGTGACGTAATGTGAAAACGTTAAGCATTAAGAGCTACTCTCCACTTATACTGTACACACATCCAAATGTGTTCCTCCGCCTCCCCCTCCCCTCTCCCTTCCTGACTGTTTCAGTAGAAATGATGCAACCTTTGATCATAGTCGCAGCCAAAAAAAGCTAAACGAAATGCGGAAATGAGCAAAGCAAGCGTAATGAACTCCTTTAAAAAAGTTTTTTTTAAAACAACGGTTTCATTTTAAAGTGCACTAAAAAGTAAATAACTCGATTGGACAACGGCCCGTGGACTCCATGTTGATTACAAGAGACACGTGGCGCACGCTTCTTGGGCGAGCCGATTCCACAGTTTAGGGACCGCGGCGTTTTTCACCTACACAAAAATATATAATGAAAATTCCGTCCATGAAAAAAAATTGTAATTGCTTGAAAGGAGGCAATTAATTGATGAGTTTATGCCGGTTTTCATACGGGCATGCATTGTCACCGGATCCGAGTACGTGTGCAAATTTTCAACTTGATTGGACAACAGGAAGTAGACTAAATTTTGATTACAAGATTTGACCACGACAAACACGAGTCAAGTTAAATAAAACCGTTGAAAAAAAGGCCCAACACCAATATCCCCAAGTTTCACAAACCCCAATTCTTAATGGTGCTGTGCTGCCTGCAGATGCCAGACATTATTGCACTCACGGATTTTCGATTTAAAGTGCCGCAATTTATCATAAATTCTACACGATGGACTATTGGTCAAAAAGCGCGCGTGTGTCCACCCCTCCACTTAAATGAGTGTTCATCCCCTTTGGGTCCGCTTAGTTAGTGCGAGATTTCGGCATTCACCATGGCGAGGACCAAAGTCTCACGACAACTATACATATGTTGGGCTTTACAAAAAAAAGCGCTTCTCAACTCATCGATCCCAGACAGCTGATGAGTACGTCAAAGCCGAAGTAACAGTATGTGAACTATACTCTTTGGTTCTATCGGGTAAAGTCACGTAGGTAAAAAATAAAATAACAAAAATCACGACGTTTCGGCCACAACACAAGCGGCCTTCATCAGGTGAAGGGACGAGACTGTCTGGAGGACAGCGCTGGAGTGAAAAAAGCCACGCTCAGATCACGACCTTTAAGCTGTGTGAGAAGAAACAAAGCGCCTTGACAAAGGAATTAGCACACAGCTTAAAGGTCGTGATCTGAGCGTGGCTTTTTTCACTCCAGCGCTGTCCTCCAGACAGTCTCGTCCCTTCACCTGATGAAGGCCGCTTGTGTTGTGGCCGAAACGTCGTGATTTTTGTTATTTTATTTTTTACCTACGTGACTTTACCCAATAGAACCAAAGAGTATGGATCCTTGCAGTCACGAAAGCTTTAAATCTAGAAAAGTATGTGAACTCGCAACCTTCCAAGAGCGAGTCGTGGCGTGTTGTAACCGCAAACGCCGCATGGCTAGATAAATACGATTTTGTTAAAACAGCTGTTATCGCCTGGAAACACTAAAACGCGGCCTGCCTGCATTATGCATAACGCAAAAACAATGCGGAGACATGACACGCGGTAACCCTTATAAAGTTCCTATCTACAATGGGAGATGATACACGGTCGCACCCACGATAGTTGGGTGGGATGCGCGTGTGGTATAAACTGTTTACACGTCGAAACCAAATTGTATTGCGTGTCACACTATATAACCACGCAGGGTGGCGCAAAGCTTATGTAAACTTGCACCGGCAAGCAGGACAAAAGAAACACAAGTTTACAATAAGGAAAAAAACAGCTGTTTCATATCACAATTCCAGAAAAATAATGTTGCGGCGTAGAAAGTTGCGATGCCGGCATTTCACGTACGACACTAACTTTCACCAAACATTCTCGATATGCTTAGTCGCAGTGTGCCGCGTCCAAGGAGTGCATTACAGAAGACGGGATAACGAAGGGCGGGAGGTGGGTGGGGTGGGGGCACAGCTGCCGAGTTCAAAGGTGGCTGTAGCGGGCCCCCGCTACAGCCACCTTTGAACTTGACAGCGCGCACGTGGCCAACTTGAGTCGCTTGCGTGGGCCACACCTCCTGCAGCGTCCGTCTATTCCACGCATTTCCTTTCGAGCATTTCACAACGGTGGCGACGAACTACATACAACACGGCGTTGTTGGATAGACACGTGGATACGCACACACCCTTATAAAGCTTCCACCCCCCCACCATGTAGGTATTAGCAGGAAGTTGCGGAAAGTTCCTGTTTTGCGAGCGCTTATTAAAGGCCGGCACGGTACACGAGGGGGTGAGTGGTCAGCAAAACACCCGGCTGGCTGCCTTTGACTCGGCACTGCTGATGATTACACACCGCACCCAGTACTCATCTAAGGCTGAGTCGACCTAGGGGAGGCCCAGGATCAGTTCAAATATTCGTCACCGGTATTGGCCGGGAGCGACACCCAAACGCGGGTCGCAAGGTTCAAAGCGCAGTGCGCTAACCGAAATGCCACCGCTCCCCACGTACACTCACACACACCCAAAAAAGCGGTGCCGTAAATGCTTAAGAATTACAAAAATGCTGCCTTAAAGCATTTAAAGTATAGGAGGGCTCAGGGTTTTATTTGTGACATTTCTGCCAGCGATAAGGATTTTCACAAAACTAGAGTGAAACATTGCAATGTAAGTTAATACACAAAAAATAGTGTCCCCATTTCCACGTGGAATCTGCCAGTGTATTCAATTAAGTAAAATTTGCGTGATCTATAATCCATATCAAATCACGTATGTTTGTGTTAACAATCACGCATACGTATGCCCGTATATTGAATAAGGCCATAACATTGATGCTCCGGTGAACTTAGGACAAATAACATGTTAATTAAAGTAATAAGGGGTTTCTTTTCTGCTGTCACAAAGATGAAATAAAGATCTTTGCATTCGCCGACCTGATTTTTTGTTTAGTTGCGAAATATAAAACAACATCCGTGACCTCCCACTGTCACATTGATGATTGATGAGCGTGCGTGAACAATGATAATCTTAACAAAGATAAACGATGGAGTCGAGTTGACTCAAAGGGTTAGAGATCTGACAAACCTTCCGATGAAGAGCCCTGCTGCTTTGTAACCTGGGATGTCAAGGTGAAATTGAACGAAGATTTTTTTTTTTACATACGCCTCTCTACTTAAACAAGCTTGGTTGGGGTGGTTCTCATTATTCTTATTATTATTGACAGCGCCGAGGCAGTGATATAAGTTCCACGTTACTAAGACAGGGGCCAGTCACAGTACGGAACACCAACTACTGACTTTCCGTAAAAGTCCGACTCATTCTTTGACCGCAGAGAAGATTTAGCCAAGTTGTCCACTGACCAAAATGTAAGCTTTGTGAGACCTTCCAGTTATGAATTGAGTGATTTAGCCTCACTAGGCACCATCCAGCCTAAAGTACGTGTAGTCGTGATAAACTAATAATTCAGATAATTACAGCCCACTGGCAATCCAGTGCCGGATGAAGGCTTTCCAACGTCATATCGACCACAGGGGTTTGCCAAGCCACACTGGCCATTATGGTTAAGTAGGATTTCTACTGTTGCAATAATAATGGCATAACTGTTTCTACAAAATATAAAATTATAATAAAAAAACTCCCCGTCCTTTACAAATTGCATCTCCTATATGATTTTCATATTTATATATACATATAAATGTATATATAAATATGAAAATCATAGAGGATTTGACCGAACACACAACAAACAGTAATGCCACTAGCTCATTTCAATCGCAATCATTACAACTGCGATGGGCATAAAGTATTAACGCCGCGTGCAGCTCGCGCGCGCCCAGGCCCGTGGTACCTCGACGGCGAGACTCGTGGCTTGAGCGAAGGGTATGGGACACAGAGCAAGATGCACACAGCGCACAGCGCGAGGTACGGCATGCCGGGCAGCACCCTGTTCCCCGGCGCCACGCGCTCTTGCAAATCTGCGCTCGGCGCTCGATGCGGCTCGCCCGGCGTCCACCGGTCGTCTCCGCGGAGAGCGTAGTTTCTCCCGCGGTCGCAGGCGCACGCCGCGCAGTCGGCCCAGCAGCAGCGCACGAGCGGAGGGTTAACGCCCCCCATGGCTCTCGCTTGACGATGCGCGGGCAACTCCTTCATTGGCGCCTCCGTTCTACCACCGGGGATTGTGAGGAGGGGCCCGATTGCAGCGACGACGTTCCATCCCATTGCTCAACGGACGACGTGCGTGGAGGAGTCGGGAGGACGGAGCTTTTGACCGTTTGAGTTCATAAGTCGCCGCGCAAAATCGTGATGTCCTGCGACATGCTGTTGCTGTGCAGGGTAAGTAGTTACAAGGCTGCGTGAGAGTTACGCACTGGCCATGATATGCTTGGAGAGCGGCAGGCAGCTTTAAATGTCAAGAGTCAGAATCGTCCAGTTCTATGAGACCTGTTAGACCTGTATGACGCTATCTAAGCACTCAAACACACCAGGATATATACACGTCCGGACACAAGCCCATTGACAAAAGGAATGAACCAAAGTATAAACTAGGAGACAGATCACATAGCTCCAACCACTCTTAAACAGCAACCGATGCTTTTGTAGTTCCCGAAAAATGTCCAAAGCTCAAATTTACACTTACGTATGAAAGGTTTTTTTTCTCTTGTAATGTTTATATAGTAGCAAAGCTAAACTATCGCTATTGTATGTTTGTGAATCTCCCCAAGGAACGGGCAATGGTTTGGTCCAATCGTTCAAAGGGGGCAGCTTCCAGCGCGGCACTTTTTACATCATCACTTGCCACGATCCCACGGATGACACACATACAAATGTTCACTGAAGCGCAACACCCTGTAATCCAAGGCAAATGTTGTGCTGCAATTTGTTTAAAAAGTAAGACCTCTATCTAAATAAATGAAAATGAGATTTGCCTCCATTTTATATCTAGCTTCGAGCCATTTTGGGCAGAGTATTCGACTCGCGAGTGGAAAGTTGGAAAAAAAAATCCCGGTCATTGTCGACTAAGCCCATCATCCCTCTTGGGTCAACAAAATGGGACATTAAATGTGATTGTTCTAGGGACAGACACCATGGTCTCTGCCAAGATAATTTGTAAATTTCTACCAATGCCTCAAGTCTGCCAATGGACATGAGCAGGGCCCCGTGATCATTTGCACAAGGAGACACTGACTGAAAACATTTGTACATCGTTTTTGAAGGTTCGTTGCCCGAGACATCAATATCTTGATTATCTTCTGAGTGACAATCAAAATACACCTGTTATTACTTCAATAAACCAGTTATTCCTATTAGAATGACTGAAGCGGAAACTTTGTAAATGTCTCAGGCTTATGGCTACATATTGACACACATACGATTACAAAAAAAACATTACTGACATAAATTAAGTCGCATTTCATTTTTTTTTATGAATCCACCCATATAGAACACTTTTCCGAATGAACAAATGTACGGAGACTACGTAAAAAAATTGCTGCTCATCTCATTTTCGATGCGGACAAGAGGACTCGCGCCATAGTTTCATCCCATTCTTACTGCGGACGAGATAATTAATTTAATCAGAATAATAAAATACCAGTTCCTCCCATGGTAATCTGTGAACAAGCACATCTGCAACGCATGTGCCATTGATACAATGTTCGCCACATTTGGTGAAATAATAACAAAAATTCCCGTTATAAATGTGTCTGTGTGTATATGAATCGATTGGCGGTGACCCGGGTCACCATCATGACCCGGGGGTGCCAAAACCTCCATAACTCCGAAACCAGAAGGCCTATGACGACGGGAGATGTCACCGAGCCCGATACGCACGCCAAATATGGAAATAAAAAACTAACGCAAAACACCCATAAAAAAGGGGGGCTGCTGGGGATTTGTGCGTGGCAACGGCTGTTTATCGCTTGTTTTGAAGTACATCAGGATGCTGGTCTGGTCATTCCCCAGCACGTTCTGCTTCTTACGGGGGCGGCCACCCTCCTTGTCTTTGGGAGCGAGACCACTTGGGAGGCAATGGCGCACCAGGCGCTCTCTTGGTACGGCCGGCAGTCACGGTCGTGCTGGCGGGATCGACATTGTCGTCCTCATCATCGCTCCCAGCGTCGTCCTCCGGCAGGACAGGGTAGTACCAGCGATGCTCCCAGAAAAAAACCTTAAACTATGCCCGGCCCACCAATATTTTGCGGTGACCCGGGCTACCGCCAATTGATTCATATGGCCGGGCATGGTGTTGGCCACCCACCCCCTCGTGTGCTGTGCCGGCCTTCAAAGGTGTTCGCTAACATCACTTGCCCCAACAGTCTGTTAAAGGCTATACAGGGGATATTTGTCTTTGTGTATATATGTTGCATGTGTATTCTTGCCAACACTGATGGGGAACTTTTAAAGCCCATCCTCTGGCACACACATTGCATTTAAAAAGCTTTCTTTGGGCAGTTGTGTTCTACAAATAATACCTACTTAGGAGGTAATGAGCTAGTTTACAGTTCCCAAAGCATGGAAAACATTGACACAGCATGCACAACATTCACTCACGCACACAACAAAGATAAAGATCCCCCGTATAGCCTGTAACAGCCTGTTGCGGAAAGTGCTGTTAGCGAGCACCGATGGAGGTTGGCACGGAACACGAGGGGGTGAGTGGCCAGCACCATGGCCGGCTGCCTTTGTCTCCCCAGTGGCGATGTTCACTACACACCGCACCGGGCACTCATGTGAGGCTGAGTCGACCTCGCACACACACATCACCTAACACTTACACCCCGTCATGTCCACTGCCCCTTTATGAGAGCCTCAAATCCTACAAACAACAACACAATGGTTGTCTAAACACTGGGTGTAAACTATTGATATGTCAGTCCTCCTGAAAAATCAACCAATCCAGTGACATTTCTTACAGCATCAACAGTCCCGTCACTGTGAACGGGACTTTTAAACACGGTTTGTCCTGCTACGTCAGTCTATATTTGTGTGATCTAACCTGCATTACAACCGCACCTCATCCAAATGTTGTATTCTGAGGAAAGAGGAGGGAGGGGGGAAAGAGTTGCTTTATAGAGAGATTAAAAGGCTCAGGCAACTCACAATGGCCAAGTTGGAGCGGTGAGTCAGCACCACTGACATCCTGCCGTTTGATTTAGCAACCTGATTGTCAACTGTGGCAAATTTCAGGGTCTCAGCCTGGTCACCAAGAATGCAGAATCACTCATAATGATTTAAATTTGTCAAGTCACTGACATTAATTAATGCCAGCTTTGGTAAATACAGATCATGTGATTATTCGTTGAGTGACACACAGCAAACCATTGTATACAAAACATGAAGGACTGCTGTCTCGCGTTGGGAAACGAGAGGCCTAATTTGAAGCGACTCCAGGAATAATTCTGTGGTGTCATCTTCCGGGGCCATTCCCCCAGTCCAGCTCTGCTCCATGAAGGAGTTACATCAGCACACTTCTTCATTTCACGTTATGACTCAGGATACAATAAGTGTGATTGAATACAAAAATGTCTGAACACGTTATAACAGTAGTCAAGTGAGATTCATTATGTATATTCGCAGATTATGTAACGCTTTTGAAGGTGCTTTTGTCCTCGGAAGTATTCAAGCCGCAATAATAAAGGTAGGGGGCGCGTGATAGCCGTGCAGGAAGCTGCAAGTGCCCGTTAGGGAAGAGCGGGGCTTGGATAGCAGCCTCTGCCTGGGATGACGAGCCTCGACTGACAAGAGTCAAGATGCCGAGCCTGGTCCCTTTTAATGCTGTTTTAATTGTCTGTAAGTTTTAGCACGTACTTTTATCAAGTTGGCCAGTTTTTTTAATAGTGCAAAACGTGTCCATAGTTTGGGGGCTAAATGACACCCAAACCACGACGGCACACCTACCCATTTGCAACCATATTACCACAACGGCAAGGAGCTCCACTGTGGTTGTGTATCACGTGCCAAAAGAGGCAAAGAGCCTCGATAGGTTTATTTCATCTATGGTCAAATAAAGGACACCGACTGATGCGAGAAAACATATGGTATGTGAACCCAGCCTCGCTCATGATACCGCATCACCCGGAAGGCTCGTGTCTAATGCTCACGAATGGCCCCCACATCTCTGATATATACCAACTATGCCTCCATGTTGCTTCACACCATCACGCTTACAAACGTCTCTCGCCCATTTTTTTTAATGATACAGTTGCAATTGAATGACAAAGGCATACGCAATGAAAGGTGAAATAACACGTAAGGCTTTCACGACCAATATTATCCAGAATAGGTTTTTTTTTTATTCGAACCAATCTAACCCAAAAAAAATCTATCAAAGGTGAAATATTTAACTAATATATTTGCACAATACACAGTTCTGTGCTTATCTCAGATGGACACATGCTAAGGTGAGCAGTCTATAGACACCGACGAAATATGGCCTTAAATGCTGAGATACAAGCAGGTAAAACCTAAAGGCAAATTCTTCCTTGTTAACTCGGTGGAGTTTTACTTTGCTTGGGGGGTGGCAATGCACTAGGGGCTGACATTAAATATTCAATGTGAGCTGCAAAGAGATTTACAAGCTTCTGTCTGCTGCTCAATGAAGCTGAAGGAATACAGTGTTGTCTTGCAGGTGAGTACAATAGAATGTTGTTTTATCACGACGCATCAACTTTACAATTGTCCATCATTCAGACATCTGTCATCCAAAACACGGTTGATCTATTTCCAAAAGTAAATAATCGGTTTTCTGGAACTCATTCAGTTGGTAGTGCTTCAGTGCATGTAAAGGAGCGGCTCTGGGGAAGATGATACGACAAATCTACTTCCAGTAACTTCAAAAGATATCTCTTACACAACACTCTCAAGGGTTCCTTGCCACCGTAATCAAGATGTGCATACGCAACACGAGCGAACGTTCCTTCGCGCTCTATCCAAATCTGTAGACAAGTGTCAGTCATTATCATTAGACCACCTTTGCCAGTACCAAGAAAGCCGTCCCTTGGTGTGGACCAATCAGTTTCAAGGACAATGCATATATTATCATAGTATGTTTTTGGTTTGCATTTTGACTGCAGGTATTGTGGTGAATGCAGACATGAATCCTTGTAAAAAAAGGTTTCAGTTTTGTTGCCAGAAAAAAGGGGAAAAACCCTATTATTATTAAGTGTCAGTCATTTACCATAATCTCAACGAACCCTCGGTTTCGCAACTTTGCCTCCCAGCCCACACCCCGCCCCCACACTCACCATGCCCCACGACTATACAATCCCTCGTCCCAGCCATCTCAAATTGAGCAATCACTGGAAAGATGTGATTAGCCTAGTTAAACTTTAGCTACCGTGCAGTTTACTGCTAGACAGCCGGTTTAGATTTATTTTCATAAACATACCCATATTCCCAGTCTGTTACCCCCAGTTTCATACACTACCATCGCTATGGTAGTGTGTACCACAAGTTGTTTTTTAGCTTGCACATTTCAGTTTGAACTCCATACGTTGTTAGCCTGCGCATTGCCAATTTACCCACCCGGCAGCATAACAAAATTAGGCTTAATCCTAGTTTGCTTATCTACTTCCGCCATCTACATCACAAAGCCCCAGTTTCGGCCCAAGTCGTTGCCTCCCAGCGCACCCTCGGCTTCCCAACTTCACCTCCCAGCCCACACTCCGCCCCCACAACTCTCAATGCCCCCCTCCCTCGCGACTATATAATCCCTCGTCACAGCCATCTCTGTGAGACACACTTAAAGCGTTTGTGCTTTCGCTACGTTGTCCCCACCTGAAGAAGGACACTTGTGTTGCGCCCGAAACGTCGTGATTTAATTTAGTTGTTTTCATTTATTTTTACCTACGTGACTTTACCGAAAAAACCCAAAAAGTTCTTAATTGTGTTGGCTCAGCATTCCAACATAGCCGCATGGCCTTGAAATATCTTGTGTTTTTATGGTTACATTTATAATTTATTCAAATTTTCAGGTATGTCAAGTTAGATTGATTGCAATACTGTACACTATGATGCTTACAATACAAGGCATCTATGAATTGCACGTGTGTGTGTGTGTGAAAATATATAATTATTGGATCAAACGCCAACCCGCCAGGCGTGTGAAATCGTACCATGCCTTATTCCGTTTACGGTTTATTTAGGAGTACATTTTTAAACGTGGTGGTAAATATTATCCGTCTGTAATGAAAGTGAATGTAAACACGATCAAGACTCAACACGCCCACGTAAACATTTAACTCGCTACAGCCCACCTTCCAAATGAGAGATCAAATTGCCAGTTGGGGCTTATTCTGTGCTCTGTGCTTGGGCGACCTTTGGAAAACACTAAGTTTAGGTTTGAGTTCTGTTTTCAGTGTTTTACTTAGCCCGGAAAACAAGCCGTGTTGTCAGGTTTAACAATGAAAACCCGATTGCATTCAACGACCTCAAGCTATTTAGCACATTGGTTGCTACAGCAGATCATGCGTATTGTGTTTTGTTTTTTAAGAGTGTGACTTATCTCTGATTGTTAAAAATTATGGTGGAAATATTATGATTGGCAAAACTGTACAATCAGTTTGAGTATAATGGGGAGCATTATTAAAACGACAGTTAGTGCTGTTTAACACATAGGCTTTCGCGACCAATATTATTCATAATAAAGGTTTTTGGGTTAGATCGCGTTATTTATAAATGTGTTGTAACCCTCCACCACCCGACACGGCCAATCAGCAAAAAAGTGTCACGTTGACAAAAGACAAATAGTTCACTACTTTAGCCCACCGGTGTGTTGAAGAGTGAATCCAAAACATTTACAGTTTGAGTACGACGTTTCGCTGGTAATTACATCCAGCATCATCGGGCAATTCGCCAGAATGGTAAAGCCCTCACTTGCTCCCGGTCTTAAATAGAGCAGCAGGGTGACGTCATCATATAACTCATTAAGGTGCAGTGGTTTGAGGCAGAGGGGGGGTATTGTAATTACATAATCGATATGGTAATCAGGCAATGGTTATGATTAGT